ATCCTTTCCTTCCTTTATCCCTCTCCTCCCCTTCATTGTTCCCCTCCTCTAAAAGGCTCGTTCTCTACTTGTTTATTCTCCGTTGCCTGTTTCCTTTCCTCTCCTTGTTACCTCTACTGTCCTTGTTTCCTCTCCTTCATTGCATCCTTTCATCCTTTATCCCTCTCCTCCCCTTGCGCCCTCCCCTTCATTGTTTCCCTTTTCTAAAAGGGTCATCCTCCTTACTTGTTTACGCTCCTGAAACATCCTTCTTTCTTCTCCTATCCTTGTGCCCTCTCCTTTAATGTTTCCTATCCTTGCGTCCTTTCCTTCCTTTTCCCCTCTCCTCCCTTTGGCCCCCCTCTAGGGTCCTTTCCTTTCCTCCTTTCCTCTCCTTTCTTGTTTTCTCTAATTTCTTGGTCTCCTATCCTCTACATTTTCCTTTTCTCTCCTTCTCTCCTTGTTTCCTATCCTCTTTTTCTGCCCTCTTCCTGAGTTTTGTGTCTTTCCCGTCCCCTTCTTGCGTCCACTTTTCTTTTCTGTTTCGACCCTCTTTCCTCGCCTTTTATCCCCCGGTCTCTTCTTCTTCTACTTTTTGTGTGTGTGTGTGTGTGTGTGTGTGTGTGTGTGTGTGTGTGTGTGTGTGTGTGTGTGTGTGTGTGTGTGTGTGTGTACAATTTTTTTGGGGGGGGTAGTACTGACCTGAGAATGACACCCTTGGTGGGTGGGGCTTATTTTAACAAGCTGTGGGTTTGTGTGTGTGTATTTTAGACACACGTGCTCATTATATTATATCATATTTAAGGCTGTTTAAACAAACTTATTTAAGGTGTTAAATTAAAACATTTCTGTTTGATTTTTAGTTTAGGAGAAATGATTGTTTAGAAACAGATTTGTTTAAAAAAAGTATTTTTGGTGCCGCAGAAAAAATACTAAAAACAAAAGAACATGCAACAAATTAAAACCTGGGAAAAAAATTAAACGGTCTCATACTTGTCCAGCACAACAAACATGTAGCAAAAAACTTGTTTCATACACAAAATGTTTTGATAATCATGAGAACCGTTTCCCCGATTCATACAAGAGGTGAAAACAAACACGCAGTCATGAATGTTTAACGGGGAAACTAAGGAGGCGGGCTCATAAAGGGTAACGTGCAAAGGGTTTAGAAAAAAAAGAAGAAAAAAGGTTGACCTCTCATGATTCACGGGTTGTCACGGTAACAGAGCTGAAAACTTTGGTATGATTTATGTAAAAAAAATGGAATGCATGTTTGATTCCACGGCAACAAAAATAGATAATGGTCATTTGTTGTGTTTAATTCTTAAAAATGTCAGGCTGACACCTTCAAACTGTCTGAGATGAATAATAACATCAGCAACGTTTTGGTGCTGGAGTGTACCTGCAAGTATTGGATGCAGCACTTCCTCTCCTGTCACATGACATCATTTTAAAAACATTCGGTGCTTTTCGAGAAGAAGCTGCATCCATATCAGAAATGTCCAAACTGTTACAGGAAGTGGATCCTGGAAAAACCCACAGTCTGTGACACTGATCGGATTCTCGTCGCAGCAGAAGCTGATCCTCCATTACTGTCCTTTCAAAAACTCTTTCTCCCCTCTGTACCTCCCCCCTCCTCCCCCTCCTCCCCCTCCTCTCCCCCTCCTCCCCCTCCTCCCCTCCTCCCCCTCTCCCCCTCCTCCCCCTCCTCTCCCCCTCCGCCTCCTGCTCGCCTTTTTTACTCTTTGAAAAGACCGCTGTGGCTTTTGTTGTCCTGAAAAGGAAGCAGGGTCGTCCCCCACTTCTTTTCAGTTTTTTTTTTTTAACCCCGCTCCTCACTCTTTACCGAACACGTTTGAAATGGAACCATCCCTCCTGGGGGGGTGAGGAGGGGGAGGGGGGTTGTAGGGGGACATAAATCAAGTGGGCTTTCACTCCGGGGCGGGTCAGGAGGGTCGACAGGCGGTTCAGGAGGCTTTAAGATGAGGAACACCAGAGCGCTCCTCCGCGGACGGGAGGCGATGGGGGGGGGGATATGGGGGAGTGGTGGGGGTCACAGAAGGTGTCAGGTCATAGGTCGCGCATACCAGGATGATGGCTTTCAAGAGTGTACTTAGAAGGGGACATGTATGAATGCACTGTGGCCCCCTGAAGCACGATGTCATCACACACCTCCACGACAGACGACACTGTTCTCACCTGGTGACCAATCAGTTTGTTACACCGGTGTTACAGAAAAAGATACGTACATATCTTTTTAATGTCTTAGACGTAGAAACCGCTAAACCACACACGTGTCAGCTCTGATCATCTACAAATTACAGAAACCTCTTTACATATCAGCTCTGATTCTCACTGAAGCTTCAGCGTCATGGCAACCTGCGTGAGTGTCGACTCGAAATGTCAGTTACAGCAGTATGTAACTCTGACCCCTAGTGTTTAAAATGGGTACTGCAGTCCAAATTCTAAACATCATAGAGAGCTGTCTCCCCCCCTCCCCTCTCTAGAGTGGATGTTCACTCAGGTCACCATGTGGTGGACTCTGAAGCTTCAGTGTTTATCCAGCTCTGCATGGGTCTGTAAACCTTTCTGTGTTCTAACCTCTCTCCATTTTTCAAAAGCATCTCCAATATTGATCCTAGTTTGAGCACGTTTCTGCTCGTGGAGCTTATTAGAAACATGCAGAGGCTTTTTAGGTCGGGTACAATCACTTCTATCTGAACCACTTCTCTTGCCCGCTTCCATCACTGTAACACCTGTTGACCTGATAACTGCTCTCATATCTGGGAAACCGAGGGGCGTCCAAAACGCTGTGTGGGGGTGTCTTAAAAGCGCCTACCTTCTCTGGTCCAAACAAATCCAGATCATTCAGGAGCAGAATCTAAAGTTAGAAGGAGGACATACTGGCTGCTGCATGAAATCTTTTTCACCTGTAACATCCATTTTCTTTCTCAGCTCAGAAAATAAGACGTAAAACATTTCCTCTCAGAGAAACTTGAGATGTTCTGTGAGCAGTGAGGCGTTCGATGTCCAACAGAGAATCCGAGCTTTGCCTTCCTGAGCACAGAGGAGGCCGACGTTTCTCTGAAATCATACACGCTCTCCTCCCTCCTTTTGTTTCCTGTCCTCATCCTTCCATCTGTTCTCTTCTTTTTTTTTATAGGTTCATCAATGCGAGGCGGCGGATCGTTCAGCCAATGATCGACCAGTCCAACAGAGCAGGCGAGTTTAATATTCCTTCATCTTTTACCTTCACGCAGCAGTCCAGATCTCATGCATCTCCCTCATGATGGTACAGAGGTTTCATCTGAACGCCTCTCGACTCACTGCATGAGTTAGTGTTTAGAGTAAAGTTAATAATAATAATAATAATAATAATAGATTGGATTCATATAGCGCCTTTCAAGGGACCTCAAGACGCTTTACACGGTGAAGGGACCAAACAGAGAACAAAATAAAAACTAAGACCGGCAGCAGAGGACGGGAGAGTGCGGGTCTCTGAGGGGAGGGGGTGTTCCAGAGGGGGGGCGGCCTCCCCCTCTGGAACAACACAATTCAATTCAACACAATTCAAAGTTCTTCACACAAAACATCAAAACGCATCATGACAGAGGAAAGAAAAGAAACATTAAAGTAGAACATTAAAAAAATATTAAATCTGAAAATATGTTCAAATAAAAATAATTGAAATAAATGAAGTAAAAATATAAAAAGAGTTCAAAGTTAGAGTGCAGAGTAAAAGTTTAAAATCGTATTCTTAATTGTTTAATTAAAGGCAGCTGCGGTGCGGAGTCTGGTATGGACATCAGGGTCTGAGGACCGGAGGTCTAGGAGGTCGGAGAGGTACCGAGGGGGCATGGAGGGATTTATGAGTGAAGAGGGTTTTGTGTTTGATTCTGGGTCTAATTGGGAGCCAGTGGGCGAGGGTTAGGACTTAGTGCAGGTGAGCCTCTCTAGGGGCTGGGTACCCCGTCTCAGTAGTCCAGACTGAAGGTCATGAAGGCGTGGAGGACGCTCTCTGCCACAGAGTCAGAGAGCGACGGCCGGAGTCCAGAGACTCTTTTTAAGATGGAAGGAGGTCACTGGGGACTCACCTGTATCTCACCTGCTCCAGTGAAAACATGACGACACAAACAACTGAGAAAGAGGAGACGATGTCAGATTGTCCCGGCGTCAGGAGGAGTGCTTTGAACACTTTTTGGACCCCTGACGTCTTTAAGTGTAAACATGGAAACATAACGTGCACCATGTAAACAGCAGCAGCGTCTCGGCCCCCGCTCGCTCTGTTGCTCTCTTGGCTCTTCCTCGGCGTGTTAAAGCGAACAGAGAGGCTTAAAGTCCAGGATTGAACGGCCTCTAAACCCCCGGCAGGATTAGCTCCAGACAAAGACGCTAATCGCTTTGACTGACCACTCCATTGAGCACTTTAACCCTGGGATTAAAACAAATAGGAGCCCGGCTAAAGCGGGGCTAACGCGGCGCTAGCCTTTCGGCCCCTGAGCTTTGTTAGTATTAACCCCGCGCTGACTTCCACACAAAGGCACGGACACACGGCTGAATGACGGAGATGAGAAACTGTTAAAGACTCGGACCCTGGGAATGTGACGCCGTACATTAAAAAAAAAACCACTTCCCTCACCCCCCCCCCCCGAGATCAAACTTTATGAAGATAATTTCCCCACGAGGATGAAAACGTTTTATTTAAAGTCGCCTCATCTTTGATTAATGAGCCCCCTCCTCCTCCTCCGCTTCTCCTCCCTCCAGAGATCAGACACATGTGTTGGGAAAAACAAGTAGACAGAAATCCAGAGTGTACTTGAACACACCATAACTGCTCCTGACTTACAGCAGCAATATTATAAATGAAAGATGAGCAGCAGCAGAGGATCAGACTGAAAGATCAACACTAAACTTTCAGCCTTTTCAAGTTGTTTCTTGTTTACTTTTTCGTTTTTTGCACGACCCATTACAAACAATCGACACCAATTGAAAGATAAAAACTTTAAAGGTGACATATTTAAAATCCTCTTCTCCATGTTCCTCTAACTCTAACATGTGTCTCTAGTCTACAAACCCCCCAATGATGAGAAAAGTCCATCCTCTCCGTCTTCTCCCTGCTCCACTTTTTAGAAAATGTGTGCTCAAACAGGCCGTTTGGAGATTTTCCCTTCATGACATCACAAAGGGCAGTAGCCCCTCCCCCAGGTGGGTGACACTCCCACAGCTAGGTGTTGTTCTGCCCTCTGAGTCTGCCTTCTCACCGTAACAATAGGACATGGAGCGAGAAAGACCGAGTACACCCAAGCCCTTCCAGAGAGGGGGCGTGGTCAGACACAGCTCATTTACATATTTAAAGATACAGACACAGAAACAGCCTGTTCTGAGCAGGGCTGAAATAGAGGGGTTTATAGACATGATCAAATACAGGATCAGAGTGGATGTTTTCATTCTCTCAAAATGATCCAGAGAAAAGATGTCTCACTCTGGACCAAACTGTTCGCACGGACTCACTCTGACATCTTCAGGTCCGAACGCTAACGTGTGAGGTAGATAGCAGCTGTCGTACCAGTGTGAGTGTGATGTCATCACTGAGGGACAGCAGGCGGCCAGATAATTAAAGAGAGTAATTCCCCCCCTCTCTGTCTCCGCAGTGAGCCACGCAGGACCGTACGGCCCAGATGGTCAGCCAATGGGAGGCTTCGTTATGGACGGACAGACACACATGGGAATCAGACCACCTGGTAAACACACACACACACACACACACACACACACACACACACACACACACACACACACACACTAATTCCGTCTCACCCTCATGTTGTTGTTGACAGTGAAGGTGCAGCTCTGAACCCCCCCGATGTGTCTGTGTGTCCTGCAGGTCCTTTAGGTGGAGTGGGGGTGGAGGGACAGTGGCACTACATGTAGAAGCACCAACACCTCCTGCGGGCAGAGGACCCGCCCAGCGTCCCAGGAAACGACAGTGAGTCACACAAGACTGATTCTTTAAAGGGCCAGTTCACCAAAATGACCAAAAACTACTTCTTGCTGTTTCCATGACGATTTTACCCAAACTTCTGTGAAGTGACACCCGGTCTGTCTCCAACCCCAGAACAACGGATGTGCATGTGCACGTTGTGTAGTTTGGGGTTTGAGGGCACCATTTTGAAGCCCCTGTGGGAGGAGTTTATTGCAGGGTATGAAACAGATGTCTCAGTATCGTGTCTCTGAAGAAAGCAAACAAAAACATCAGCGACTTATTTGATCATCCCGTTGTTTTTTAAGAGCGAGTTTCTGCTGCCATGTGCCCAACGAGGTGATGAGGCAGAATCTCTCTCTCTGTTTGAATCTCCATCGATTGCTCGGTTGACCCCTTGAAAACAACGGCACATGTTGAGCAACATCGAGCAGAAGAAGATGATGAGAAATGTCGTTTTTATGAACATGCAACACAAACATGGACCATGATCACACACAGCCAGCGCTTACTCCTCTTCCTCTTCTTTCCCTCTCAGATAATTCTTCATTTCCTTCGGCGACTCTCATTGACAAACTCTGGTTTTCATATTCAGTATGATACGATGATTAGCACAGCGTTGTCAGATGGGGCCCCCTTTGGGAGGTTTCCTACTGACATTGCAAAATTTGCACATTTTGAGCCGCTGCTGTGGTGTCAAGTTTGTTAGCCCTCCGAGGGGCCCCTCCCCTTACGGGCCTGCCGCCCCAAATAGTTGCCGGCGTTGCCTGCAGACGAGCAGCGTCTCTGGCTGGACTCTGGATTTGTCACAAGGGGGTTTCCAGCTTTTATTGAGCTGTCGTTCTGTTGTGTTTAAGATTCTCACTGAACATGTCGACGCGCTAACCTTCTGACCAGCTGATCTGAAGAGCGACAGCATCCTGTCATCCCTCCTCTCTGCTCCTCCTCACCAATTAAAAACACTTCTACCACACACACACACACACACACACACACACACACACACACACACACACACACACACACACACGAACCACTTCTACCATCAGATTTAAAGGTCGATTAATCCCCTGAGAACGAGCTGATCATTAGAGAGAGACGCACAACATTCACATCTCTTCATTTGATTACACCGTAAGCAGTTCTCATTATTAGACGGGGGGCAGTGAATGCAGCGTGTGTGGGGGGGGCAGTGAATGCAGTGTGTGGGGGGGCAGTGAATGCAGCGTGTGTGGGGGGGCAGTGAATGCAGCGTGTGGGGGGGGGCAGTGAATGCAGCGTGTGGGGGGGGGCAGTGAATGCAGTGTGTGGGGGGGCAGTGAATGCAGTGTGTGGGGGGGGCAGTGAATGCAGCGTGGGGGGGGCAGTGAATGCAGTGTGTGTGGGGGGGCAGTGAATGCAGCGTGTGGGGGGGGGGGCAGTGAATGCAGTGTGTGGGGGGGGCAGTGAATGCAGCGTGTGGGGGGGGGCAGTGAATGCAGTGTGTGGGGGGGCAGTGAATGCAGCGTGTGTGTGGGGGGGCAGTGAATGCAGTGTGTGTGTGGGGGGCAGTGAATGCAGCGTGTGGGGGGCAGTGAATGCAGCGTGTGGGGGGGCAGTGAATGCAGTGTGTGGGGGGGCAGTGAATGCAGCGTGTGGGGGGCAGTGAATGCAGTGTGTGGGGGGCAGTGAATGCAGCGTGTGTGTGGGGGGCAGTGAATGCAGCGTGTGGGGGGGCAGTGAATGCAGTGTGTGGGGGGGCAGTGAATGCAGCGTGTGGGGGGCAGTGAATGCAGTGTGTGGGGGGCAGTGAATGCAGTGTGTGGGGGGGGCAGTGAATGCAGTGTGTGTGTGGGGGGGCAGTGAATGCAGCGTGTGGGGGGCAGTGAATGCAGCGTGTGGGGGGGGCAGTGAATGCAGTGTGTGGGGGGGCAGTGAATGCAGCGTGTGGGGGGCAGTGAATGCAGTGTGTGGGGGGCAGTGAATGCAGTGTGTGGGGGGCAGTGAATGCAGCGTGTGGGGGGGCAGTGAATGCAGCGTGTGTGGGGGGGGCAGTGAATGCAGTGTGTGTGGGGGGGGCAGTGAATGCAGTGTGTGGGGGGCAGTGAATGCAGCGTGTGGGGGGGCAGTGAATGCAGTGTGTGGGGGCAGTGAATGCAGCGTGTGTGGGGGGCAGTGAATGCAGTGTGTGGGGGGCAGTGAATGCAGTGTGTGGGGGGCAGTGAATGCAGTGTGTGGGGGGCAGTGAATGCAGCGTGTGGGGGGGGCAGTGAATGCAGCGTGTGTGGGGGGCAGTGAATGCAGTGTGTGGGGGCAGTGAATGCAGTGTGTGGGGGGCAGTGAATGCAGCGTGTGGGGGGGCAGTGAATGCAGCGTGTGGGGGGCAGTGAATGCAGCGTGTGGGGGGGGGGCAGTGAATGCAATGTGTGGGGGGCAGTGAATGCAGCGTGTGGGGGGCAGTGAATGCAGTGTGTGGGGGGCAGTGAATGCAGTGTGTGGGGGGGGGCAGTGAATGCAGTGTGTGGGGGGGGGCAGTGAATGCAGCGTGTGGGGGGGGGGCAGTGAATGCAGCGTGTGGGGGGGGGCAGTGAATGCAGTGTGTGGGGGGCAGTGAATGCAATGTGTGGGGGGCAGTGAATGCAGTGTGTGGGGGGCAGTGAATGCAGCGTGTGGGGGGGCAGTGAATGCAGCGTGTGTGGGGGGGGCAGTGAATGCAGTGTGTGTGGGGGGGCAGTGAATGCAGTGTGTGGGGGGCAGTGAATGCAGCGTGTGGGGGGGCAGTGAATGCAGCGTGTGTGGGGGGGGCAGTGAATGCAGCGTGTGGGGGGGCAGTGAATGCAGTGTGTGGGGGCAGTGAATGCAGCGTGTGTGGGGGGCAGTGAATGCAGTGTGTGGGGGGCAGTGAATGCAGTGTGTGGGGGGCAGTGAATGCAGTGTGTGGGGGGCAGTGAATGCAGCGTGTGGGGGGGGCAGTGAATGCAGCGTGTGTGGGGGGCAGTGAATGCAGTGTGTGGGGGGCAGTGAATGCAGCGTGTGGGGGGGCAGTGAATGCAGCGTGTGGGGGGCAGTGAATGCAGCGTGTGGGGGGGGGGCAGTGAATGCAATGTGTGGGGGGCAGTGAATGCAGCGTGTGGGGGGGCAGTGAATGCAGTGTGTGGGGGGCAGTGAATGCAGTGTGTGGGGGGGGGCAGTGAATGCAGCGTGTGGGGGGGCAGTGAATGCAGCGTGTGGGGGGGGGGCAGTGAATGCAGCGTGTGGGGGGGGGCAGTGAATGCAGTGTGTGGGGGGCAGTGAATGCAGCGTGTGGGGGGGGGCAGTGAATGCAGCGTGTGGGGGGCAGTGAAATGCAGCGTGTGGGGGGCAGTGAATGCAGCGTGTGGGGGGGCAGTGAATGCAGCGTGTGGGGGGCAGTGAATGCAGTGTGTGGGGGGGCAGTGAATGCAGCGTGTAGGGGTTAAGAGGAGACTGAGGACAATTCAAGATTCTTCAGGAGTAGAGGGAGTACACACACATGAACACATGAACACACACATGAACACACACATGAACACACACACACATGAACACATGAACACACACACACACACACACACACATGAACACACACACACACATGAACACATGAACACACACACACACACACACACACAAACACATGAACACACACACACACATGAACACATGAACACACACACACACACACACACACACACACAACACATGAACACACACACACACATGAACACATGAACACACACACACACACACACATGAACACACACACACACATGAACACATGAAACACACACACACACACACACACATACACATGACACACACACACACACACACACACACACACACACACACACACACACACACACACACACACACACACTAACAGATGATGACATCATCTCTCACCCTGTAAAAACTCCGACCTATCACGGCCCTGAGGTCCGGAGACCCTCGCCGAGCTGTCAAAGCTCCTCCTCCACGTCTCCAGGAGGACGGAGAGAGAGAAGGGCGCCATGACAGAGTTTAGATCAGTCAAAGCTTTTCAGTGATGGGAGACGACTGACTGGTGGTTTCCATAGCAACCGCATGCAAAGCGTTCTGACGTGGCGCTTGAACCATACCTCACTGAGTCCGTCCCGTCAAATGACCGTTATTTTCATGTTTGCTGTTGATTCCAACATTTGAGTTTCTTCTCTCGTTTGTCTCTGTCACTTCCTGTTTCCTGTGCAGGACTCTTCCAGCAGACGTCCTGTTCAGACGTGGAGCCGGACCCAGTACCCCCCCCTCCCCCCCCTTCAGAACCACCTCTCTGGGATTCTACCCGGGCCAGCTGAAGCACGAGTGGAAGGATTAAGAACTGATTGTTCTGGAGCAGGACGTACAGGAATCAAAATGGCGTCTTTGGATTTGGTCGTTTTTCCTTCTTTCTTTTGGATTTAAGCTTCTGTTCCTCTCTGGACTACAACTACAGGAGCCCACAAAGGACAGTTTGAGCCCTGACAGCATCCTTCACCCTGCTCTCTCTGATGTCTGTATATCAGGATGTTTATTTTTGATCTTTCACAGAACTCGTCCACAAAGGTGTTTTTGTGAGCGCACAGCCGAGGTGACGGCGCTCTCAGAGAGACGAGTCGGGCGACGCCCCCCCCCCCCCCCCCCGCTGTTTTTATAAAGGAGGACACTTTCACTTTTCACACCGAGCGGGTGTTTGTCTTTTTTTCATAGACTTCTATCTTCCCTCGAGCCCCACAAACCTTTGAGTTCTAAAATAATAAAAAGTGAAGAGAAAGTCTTCCTCTATTGGTCAGAGTGTTTTATGACTTCCACCTGCACGCTTTGGTTTCCTCGCGTTCATTTCTTTACACAACAAAGTGCAGAAATGTTGAATTCCATTTCTGGAACGTTTTGAGTTTCCCCTCCCCACATGTCTTTCATACTTTCCTTTTCTTTCACTCTAACTTCCTGCAAGTCTTTTAAACATGTTCGAGTTCGAGGTTTGGAACACACCTGATGTTTTTATGTTGCACTCAGGATGTTTAGTTTAATAAAATATGTATTTAGAAATAAGAAATGATCAAAACAAAAACAAGATGTAACAAATGAATGTGTACAGGGCTGATGTAAAGTTCAACGCTCACAGCTGGTGGAGAATTCATGAAAACACACGACACAGAATCTTTTTGAAGCAGAAAACAAGTTTAACAAAACAAAGAGTTTAATGCAAACACCTCCTCTCCTCTCCTCTCCTCCCCTCCCCTCCCCTCCTCTCCTCTCTCCCTCCCCTCCCCTCCTCTCCTCTCTCCTCCCCTCCCCTCCCCTCCTCTCCTCTCCCCTCCCCTCCTCTCCTCTCCTCTCCTCTCCTCTCCTTAGTTCCCCCTCACGCTCCAGCTGGCCTCCTCAATGGACGACTTCTCCCAATCCGCTGGGAGTTTTCCTACAGATACACCTCATTTCAAAGCTGGAGGCCTCACGAGAGCTCGTTCATCTTGAAATCAATTACTAATCATGAGCAGAGTGCGCCCTGTTCACTTCAGGAAACGGGACTCGTTTAAGAGTCCTGCTGAAAAAAACACCTGCAGAATCTTTTTGAAGCAGAAAACACGAGTTTAATGCAAACACAAGCGTCCTCTCTCTCTGAAGCTCTCCTCTCCTCCTCTCCTCCTCTTCCTCTGCAGCTCTCCTCTGCTTCCCTCTGCGCTGACTGACAGGCGGCGGCCTCAACTCCCAGGTTTGACTGCCCTCTTTAGGGGATTCTGGAAACTGCCTTCATGTGTGTTTTGAAAGCTGCTGATGTTGATGATTGAGATCAAACATGCACAAAGATGAGACACCATGTTGTCTCTCTGGAGACGGCTGCGACAAAAACACAGCGGCCGCAAAGTAAACAAGAAAATCATATTGAAGCACGATTTTTTTAAATGAAGCTGTAATTTCCTACTGATCACTCAGGCAGCGAATGCAATGCAATAACTTATTTTTGTTATATTAAATTTAAAAAATACATTTTTTAAAAACTGTCTTGTTGATTTGCATTTTTTGTCTCTCTTTGGCCCGAGGTCTTTTGCGTCTGATTTTGTTGTCTGCAATCTGCAGTCGTTTGAGTCGTTTGAGTCGTTTTATGATCTCATTGAAATCTCTTCTAAGTTGCTTTGCACCTTTAAAAAAAGTGATTTTGATCGTTTGTACTCATCTTCACTAATGTAAGATCTTTTTGGGTAGTTTTTAGTCCCCTCAGTAAATTAAATCGACGTCTCTTTTCTTGGTGTTTGACATTTCCCCTTTTTGCACCAATTTTGTCCCTTTCTTGTATCCATACTAGGATGTTGTGATATTTCATGACAAAAAAGGCGAGTTGGTGTTACTTCATGTGTATACACTCTCAGTCTGTCTCCGCTCAGAAGAAACAAAGTAACAGAGATGTGATGGTGATAGATCCTGAGGAGCATGGGGGGGGGGGGCAGCGAGAGAACTCAGAGAGAACGGGTTTATCCAAACAAACTGACCCCTGATTGGACTGGAGTGGACCCCATCAATCTGCCTCCACCAGGTATGCGTCTGGACCCGTTACTCCCTCGCCTCCTCCCTTCCTCCCTCCCTGCACCCTCAAAGTTTGATCATTTATTGCCTTTAATTAAGTGCTCGCTTCAGGAGGGATTACATGAGCTTCCCCGTGCATGTGCGGGGCAGACGGGGAAGGTATTCAGTGTCGGACAGAGGATCCAGAGAAGCAGGGAGACGAGGATCAGAGTTACCTGGAGAGAGGAAGTGGAGGAGGTGAGGAAGGAGGAGGTGAGGAAGGAGGTTCAGTTTACTCCAACAGGACGCTCAGAGAGGGAGTCTGCTTTGCCTTCTAAATGCAGTCGTCATCATCTGTTCACCTTTACATGCAGGTGAAGAGAACTCTCAGTAAACACCTGTGAAATAGAGTAGCAGTGATTTGGTCATATACAGTAGAATATAAATCAAACGGTCTTTTCTACGTTAGCATGCAAAGGCAGAAACATGACGTGTAAGAAGATGCAGTTTAACACAGGAAGAGGTGTTAATTAATATCATAAAGTATATCACCTTAAGGTGACATCTCCTCCTCCTCCTCTTCAGTGTAAATAAGTCTCAGAGCTCCTCAAAACATGTGTGTGAAGTTTCTTGTTCTAAATCCACTCTGATCCTGTATTTGATCATGTCTATAAACCCCTCTATTTCAGCCCTGCTCAGAACAGACTGTTTCTGTGTCTGTATCTTTAAATATGTAAATGAGCTGTGTCTGACCACGCCCCCTCTCTGGAAGGCTTGGGTGTACTCGTCTTTCTCGCTCCATGTCCTATTGTTACGGTGAGAAGGCAGACTCAGAGGGCAGAACAAACACCTAGCTGTGGGAGTGTCACCCACCTGGGGGAGGGGCTACTGCCCTTTGTGATGTCATGAAGGGAAAATCTCCAAACGGCCTGTTTGAGCACACATTTTCTGAAAAGTGGAGCAGGCAGAAGACGGAGAGGATGGACTTTTCTCATCATTGGGGGGTTTGTAGACGGAATAGAGACACGTTAGAGTTAGAGGAACATGAGGAAGAGGATTTTATATAATATGAGACCTTTAATGTTTACATAAATATTTCAGCTGGTTCAAAGTATTCCTTTCTCCCGGGGTTTTGTGGCCTTCAAAAAAATCTGAAAACAGAACAAAAGCACAGATACTTCAAACAGCAGATGATCTGTGTTCAGCCTCTCAGTAAACAGCCTTTCATCCGTCCTCAGAGTCCCAGAAGTTAATTTCCATTAAGGTTTTACTTCCCCCTGTGGCCTCACATACTCCCCCCCCCAACCTTCTCCCACGTATGTCTATAAAATGGATCAGCACGACGCTCCAGGAGAGTGAGGCTCTCAAACACGGCAGACATTTTTCACAGAATGGGTTTGACTCGGGGCAGGATGAAGCAGAATACTGCAGGGCTGTCATTGCACCCGGATCCCAGCAGCCCTGTAAAGCAGGTCCATAAATCTGAACGGTCCTCGAGTTTGGAGCGATGGAGGGGATTTCTGCAGACTCCTACGAGTGGCGTCCAGGGAGCGAGGGGGAATAAGAGCATCACCGTTAAACAGGCATTTAAAATGTATTCTACAATTCACTTATCAGACTCTTTTATCCAAAGCGACGTACATCAGAGAGGAAGAACAACACAAGCAAGGATCTAGAAAAAAGGGAACAATGTGAGTAAGAGCAAACGATCAGCTTTGAGTCTGATTGGACACACAGGTGCTGACAGGAAGTGACCAGAGGCAAAGCACAACATTGAGGGCAGTTCTTGAGAGCTCTAATCAGTATAGAACCCATCTTATAAGTCGTCGTTATCAAACAAAAACCATCGTCATTACCATCATCATCATCAATAATATCATTAAGTTAGTAGGTATTCATGAAAGAGCTGGCTCTTTAGCTTTTTCTTAAAGGTGCAGAGGGACTCTGCAGATCACATGGAGTTTGGAAGTTCATTCCACCACCGGGGGCGACAGAGGAGAAGAGTCTAGTCAGAGACTTAGGACCCTGCTGTGAAGGTTGGATCAGACACCTTTCATTGGCAGAGCGTAGAGGGGGGGGAGTGTAGACCTGGATCAGAGAGTTAAAGTAAGGAGGAGACGTTTCTGTTTCTGTTTTGTCAGCAAGTTTTAAATTTGATGCGAGCAGTAACTGGGAGCCAGTGGAGGGAGGTGAACAGCAGACTGGTGCCAGCTCGGTCTACTCGAGAGCCTGGCTTTTGCTGCTGGGACAAGTAAGTCATTTAACGCCTTTTAAATAACATTTTATAACACTTACAAAGAGACTTAAAAGACAAACTCTGAAGACATTTAGAGATTTATTTCCCATCATGCACCTGGTTGAAATTAACAGCTACAACTTTTGAGGAGGAGAAAGTGGTGAAGTTGAGGAGAGAGCAAGAGCGCCTCTTCGACATGTCCTCGTCTTTGTACCACCACAGAGAGAAGAAGGAAACATTCACCCCCCGTACAGTGTGTGTCCATCCAGACATGAGCTAATCACACCTATTTGGTTTTTTGAACCAGGCTGTAAACATGTTCATCTCTGCTGTAAAAACAGGCTTTTTAGAATGGGTGTGTGTGTGACTTCCTGTGCTTCTGCAGCCAGCCTCTAGTGGACACTCCAGGAACTGCAGGATTTTACACTTCAGCATCAACAGTTGCTGCTTGGTCAACACATGGAAACCTGCTTTGTGTTCACATTTAATCACACACCTGAAGCGCTGGTCAAACCTTTACGATGAGGGACGAGCACATTGCCCCTCCCCCACTGGATCAGCTGATCCCGTCTCTCCCACACACACACACACACACACACACACACACACACACACACACACACACACACACACACTGAGACATTCTTGGACTCCTTTCAGATGGATGTGACGGAGCCGCTTATCGTGGAGTTTTCAGGTCGGTAATGAAACAGTAACCGGCGTCGTTTGCACGTATTAATGGCGGTGTTGAAGTGGAGATGTGAAGACTTCAGGGAACATTAAACCTGAAGGGAGGGCGAGCGTTAAAACCCGACTGAAACAAACGTCGATGGGAATTCTCTTCCAGCTGGTGATGGAGGGAGCGTGCTCCATCTCCATGGATTGATGACGTCATGTTGGCCTCGCTCCTTGCCGTTTTCATCCAGTTTGTAATGTGCCACAGATTCTCTCACTGAGCCACAGGATCTGCTCTGAGTTAGACATCCTGTCCACATCTTTCAACTCTGGTGTCCTCGTTTAAACCTCTTTTAAACGCCAACAAACCGCTTTGTTTCCACATTTGATGACGTCAAAGGAAAGAAGCTTTAACCTGTAACGCAATGAATCAACAAATCAGACGTTTGACCGCTTCTTTAATGGACGAACTGAAAAACAGAATGTAAGGCAGCCCTGAGCTGACATGCATCCTTACTAAGGCTGTGAAATGTATTACACTTTTTTTAATCACGATTAATCGCATTTCTAATCACATGTTTGAAATTCCTTATTTTAAATTTTAAATAAAAATTGTTAGGCTTTTATTTTGAATTTTGGAAATGTCTTTGACTCTGTCTTTACAGCACCAAACGCGAGCGTGCATGAGGCACAAATCAGCTTTTTCTATTGTTTACTATCTGAGTGTACTAACAGCTAGCGAGGCAGCACGGCATCCGAGGCAGCGCGGTGGGCGAGGTAGCGCGGCGAGCGAGGCAGCGCGGCGGGCGAGGCAGCGCGGCGGGCGAGGCAGCGCGGCGGGCGAGGCAGCGCGACGGGCGAGGTAGCGTGACTCGTCGTCCCATTTCTATTTTCTTCTCTAACTTTCACGTAAACGGACGTGTAACGAGGAAGGATGAGGCTCTACAAGACACTGTCTCTCTTCGCTCAGCAGAGCTCGTTAGCTTGTTAGCTCGTTAACTCGTTAGCTCGTTAGCTTGTTTTACAAAGTTGAGATAAATGTGTATTAATAATATCCACATCAGTGATTGAAATGATGACCTTTGACCTGTGTCAACACCGGAGAAAAACTTTATTCGTCTCACTTCAGGCCATCTATTCAGTCACCACACTTCAGTTTGTCAACCTTCAAAATAAAAGCACCACACTTCAGTTTGTCAACCTTCAAAATAAAAGCACCACACTTCAGTTTATCCACCTTCAAAATAAAAGCACCACACTTCAGTTTGTCCACCTTCAAAATAAAAGCACCACACTTCAGTTTGTCCACCTTCAAAATAAAAGCACCACACTTCAGTTTGTCCACCTTCAAAATAAAAGCACTAGATTACAAACTGTGTTCTGTGCCGAGCAGAACCGGAGCACTCGTTGGAACCCGTGCCACCCCCCCCCCCCCCCCCCCCGGAGTGGCACCTCTAAACAGACAGTGATAGATTGGTGAGATTACAGAGCAGAATATCTGACACTGCTCTCTGATCCGCCACCCTGAAAGCGTTCAGACATTTTCTAACGAGCCTCTGCCAGCGCCCCGGATCACATTTCAAAGACGGACGATGTCTGCTGGGAAAAAAACAGAGCCATTTAGCCTGCTGCCACTGTAATGTAAAAACCAGATATCTGCGTCTTTACTTCCTGACGGCTCTGCTAAGTCTCCTCCTCAGAGCGTCCTATAAGCTCAGTGTTTTCTTTAAAGCAGCAGGGTATTCTACTCGAGCGCACAGGCCATGAAATATGGAGCGTATCTGTGTTTGGCTGCGAGCCAGGCCGAGGGGTCGGCATGAATCACTCAGATTTCAACCTCAGTCCACATTCATCCGGCTGGAAACAGAGCTGCTCTCTCACAGTAAAAGTTGGATATTTTGTTTGCAAATCGTCATGTATGATAAAAATGCATAAAAACTAGAGGTGGCAAACGTACACTTCCAGAAACACTTCCAGATAAACATCCTATTTCAAGACGTAAAGACCAAAATAAAATCTAATAATAATAAAGATGCATAAAACTTTTAGCTCTCTGAGCTCTAGAGACCCAAAATGTTTTTCTACCAGGATGTAAACATGTTTATTTTAACATAGAGCTCTATGGGGACTGACTCACTGCAGGAGACAGACTCTAGTGGACACTGGAGGAACTGCAGTTGTAAAGTTAGACATTTTAACATGGGGCTCTATGGGGACTGACTCACTGCAGGAGACAGACTCTAGTGGACACTGGAGGAACTGCAGCTGTAAAGTTAGACATTTTAACATAGAGCTCTATGGGGACTGACTCACTGTAGGAGACAAACTCTAGTGGACACTGGAGGAACTGCAGCTGTAAAGTTAGACATTTTAACATAGAGCTCTATGGGGACTGACTCACTGCAGGAGACAGACTCTAGTGGACACTGGAGGAACTGCAGCTGTAAAGTTAGACATTTTAACATAGAGCTCTATGGGGACTGACTCACTGCAGGAGACAGACTCTAGTGGACACTGGAGGAACTGCAGCTGTAAAGTTAGACATTTTAACATAGAGCTCTATGGGGACTGACTCACTGCAGGAGACAGACTCTAGTGGACACTGGAGGAACTGCAGCTGTAAAGTTAGACATTTTAACATAGAGCTCTATGGGGACTGACTCACTGCAGGAGACAGACTCTAGTGGACACTGGAGGAACTGCAGCTGTAAAGTTAGACATTTTAACATAGAGCTCTATGGGGACTGACTCACTGTAGGAGACAAACTCTAGTGGACACTGGAGGAACTGCAGCTGTAAAGTTAGACATTTTAACATAGAGCTCTATGGGGACTGACTCACTGCAGGAGACAGACTCTAGTGGACACTGGAGGAACTGCAGCTGTAAAGTTGGACATTTTAACATAGAGCTCTATGGGGACTGACTCACTGTAGGAGACAACTCTAGTGGACACTGGAGGAACTGCAGCTGTAAAGTTAGACATTTTAACATAGAGCTCTATGGGGACTGACTCACTGCAGGAGACAGACTCTAGTGGACACTGGAGGAACTGCAGCTGTAAAGTTAGACATTTTAACATAGAGCTCTATGGGGACTGACTCACTGCAGGAGACAGACTCTAGTGGACACTGGAGGAACTGCAGCTGTAAAGTTAGACATTTTAACATGGGGCTCTATGGAGACTGACTCACTGCAGGAGACAGACTCTAGTGGACACTGGAGGAACTGCAGTTTTAGGCACTTTCTTATGAATGTCATATTAAAGGAAATGAAAATAAGAAATCATACATTATATTTCAGTCATTTTGTAAGCCGTGTTTCCCGGAGTATGCATGTCTTGCGCTTGTTTTGAGTGTGTTCATGTTACACATACTACAGTGTACTATCAGTCCAGCAGGATGGGACACGTTAAACGTCCTTTAGGGAAAAGATGCAGGATGAGGAGGAGAGCTGCTGCCGCTGACAGCTTCACAAATATCCCCTGCTGCTGTCGTCTGCAGGACGTACTCACCCTGAACAGTCCGCTCATTTACAGTCCCAGAGACGTTAGACGCCAAAAAGAGATTGTGGAACAGATTATTAGACCTCATGACAAAACCCCCTAACCCCATCAGATAACGATGATAAAGATCGGGTTTATGTCCTCACCCCTTCAGCTCTGCAGCCTGCTAAGCTAAATGGTTTATAACTTAAGTGACTCTGCAGATGAAAATAAAAATTGTTAGGTCTGTGAGCATTAACGAGTTCATCACATTAACCTCATGTTTGTCCCTTCAGGCTCTCCGTAGATACTCGTCCTCAGTGTCTCCCTGTAGTCTCACTGCTGCATCTCTGAATGTCTCATTTCACTTTAACAAACTCTCACACAGTAATATCCACCTGATGACATCACACTGACCTTATGACATCACACACTGACCTGATGACATCACACACTGACCTGATGACATCACACACTGACCTGATGACATCACACACTGACCTGATGACATCACACATTGACCTGATGACATCACACACTGACCTGATGACATCACACACTGACTTTATGACATCACACATTGACCTGATGACATCACACACTGACCTGATGACATCACACTGACCTGATGACATCACACACTGACCTGATGACATCACACATTGACCTGATGACATCACACACTGACCTGATGACATCACACACTGACCTCATGACATCACACACTGACCTGATGACATCACACACTGACCTGATGACATCACACACTGACCTTATGACATCACACACTGACCTTATGACATCACACACTGACCTGATGACATCACACACTGACCTTATGACATCACACACTGACCTGATGACATCACACACTGACCTGATGACATCACACACTGACCTGATGACATCACACTCTGACCTGATGACATCACACTCTGACCTCATGACATCACACATTGACCTTGTGACATCACACATTGACCTTATGACATCACACATTGACCTTTGAGATGTTTGACCTCACTTTGGGATCCCTAACCACTTCCTGTTTCTGTGCTTAACTTCATGTCCTTATCTTCACTCTACAGGAAGGGCCTAACTGTATTTCAAAATAAAAGCACACAGCAGGTAAAGTACTCTCAGCTTAAGACAGGACAAACATAAAAAAATAAATGTGAAATAACAGAATTTCAAACACACGATTTAAATGTGATTAATCGCAATTAGAAATGTTAATCCTTTAACAGCCCTCATAATAATAATATTCATTAATTATTAATTATATCAACAGCTTTCAATCAAAAGTGCTGTTTTTATTTATTTATTATTTATTAGCATATATTAATAATAAATGTTTGTCAATTTGTTTAAGAATAATTAATTTACGTAAATTGAAAAGAAACGATAGATTGAAACGTTTTAAATATAATTGTGATGATGATAAGCGCAGAATCCGCGCAGCTCTGATGCTCCTGAACGCACCCTCGAAAGGAACCCTGGGAAAGACAAGATGGCGGGACGTTCAAAAACGTCGCTGACAGGTCAAATCAACAACAGAATAAAGTAAATAACATATTGAATTTAACCGTTAGCCCACAAATCGTCGGCTGGAACGAGTAACCGACGTTTAACCGCCGGTATGAACGGGGTTCGCCGGAAGTGTGACCCTCCTTTTGGACTGACGGGATCCACACCGAAACCGAACCGGCTGAGCAGAACCTTCAGACAGACTCAGACTGCGGGGAAAGTGGATCCTCCTCCGAGGAGCGAGCCGGCAGGTTAGTGGATGTTTTTCTGTCCGTGTGTTTGTAATTCATCTGAACTTGTTCCATATTGTTGCCCCGACAACGTCCCGCTCAGCTGAACGTACACAACTCTCAACCAAACTCCATTCAAATTTCTCCCACTTTTTGGTTTTCTTGTAGATACACGAGATATACTCAATCACAAAGAGTGAACAAGTCATTTTTACCAAGCCAAACGTTTTACCCTTAATTCGGGATACGAAAATAATCACTAAATAACTATTTAAGGCTCTTAAAGTGTCCCCTAAAGATCCCTTGATCAGTCGTCTGCTGTGAGGGATACATGCCCCGACTACGTCCGCTCAGCTGTGCGTACACAACTCTCAACCAAACTCCATTCAAATTTCTCGCACTTTTTAAGTTTTCTTGTAGATCCACAAGGAATCCCCGATCTCAAAGAGTGGATAAAGTGAAATTTACAAAGCCGAACTTGTAACTTTTAATTCGGAATAAAAAAAAAATCCCTAATTAACCCTTTAAGGATCTCTGTCTACCAAAGATCCATGGATGTGTTGTCTGTAGTGACGGTTACAAGCCCTGACAGCGTCCCATTCTGCTGTATCTATACAACAATACACCAAACCCCATTGAGGTTTCTAATTAATTTATGTTTTCCAGAAACTCAGTTTCAGATTACAGTTCAGCACACAACATTTTTACAGCAGCTCCTAGATCTGAACTGCCATGTGGCATGTAACTTGGGGATCATGGGCATGCCGGTGTTGTTTGTGGCATGCCAGCAGTATTCGCCTTGGTCCATGGCAGGACGGTGTTGTGCCGAGAAGTGCATACATGCCTCCTGAGAATTGCATGCACCTCGCAGGACACTTTGCATCCACCTTTAAATGTCCTCTACAGACACACTTCAAAGTCAGACACTCTTTGCAGCTCATATTTACACAGGCCAATGAAAAAGCGTCTTCTATCGAATTTTCAGGACAATAAGGACACTAACCTTTTTAAAAATAAACTATACGTACTTTGTCATCACAGATCTGCCCCCAGATATAGGATTTATACCGTTTTCAAACACTTCCCAGAGGTGCATGCAATTCTGATTCTCAGCAGGGATGTAATTCTCGTCGTAACACCTGCAGGAGGCAAGCACCCATCTCTCACATGAGTACCAGCCATCTTCCAAATCTTCCTCTTCAAACAAAACGAAGCCATGGGTGTCAATGGAAAAAGCTGGAGGGGATAAAAAGTGACAGATTCTTTGTTGGTATCTGAAAGGTACTAAAATAAAGTAACCTTGGATTTTCAGCAACAAATGTCCGAAGCACTTATTAACTTGAGTCAAGGAGAGCTGAGCGGTAAATGTTGTTCTTAATGAATCAGTTTTTTTTTTTTTACTTATTCTCCAGAATTTAAGAGTCCGACCAGAATCCCGAGATCCAGAGCAGGCGGAGGTTTCAGCGGAGAGTCTCCACACAACGACTCGGACGTCCAGCAGGACATCATCTGGGATGCCACGTCTCCTTCTCCAAACAGACTCGGTAAATATCAGACAGAGTCCTTGGATTAGTCTTTCATAGCTGCTGTCACACCTGCACAAAACTCCTGAGTGCAGATTTGAAAACATCATAAAACATACGAGGAAAGAAGATTTGCTTCATGGAGGCAAGAGCTGCATCGTCATTACTGACATGTTTTTTGTCTCCAGGTAAAAGAGGAAAGAAGCCGCCTGCTGGAGTGGTGAACATCTCAGAGATCGTCAGCAGGATCGCTCCAAAGGTGAGCGACACTACCTTCCATCGCCGCGTCCCGAGACGTAGCTGATCAGCAGCTCGACAGTCTGTCCTGAATGTTTCAATGTTTTGTGTTTGTGAAGCATGGCAGGCCGAGGGTCGCAGAGCCGACGTTACAACAGTGGATCGGAGACAGCGCAGCCATTCCCTGCACGCCGGACGTTCAAGCTCCCAAACCGAAGAAGAAGTCCCCGAGGTAAAGGAGGAGACCAATCTGCTCTCCTTGTTTTCATCTCTTTTTCCTTTTGCTCGCTCTCTTATTGTGCTTTGTTTTCATTCAGTGTTTACTGTCATTGTTGTTTGTTTTTCATTACGACAAAGTTCTGATCGTATTTTACGGTGGGTGGTGAAGGCAACAGCCCGAAGGATTTACATTTGTAAAAAAAAACATGCTGCGACCTCAGAGAGGGTGCAAATTCAAAACCCACACTCAAGACAAAAACAAACGCACTGATAGAAACACGCTGACGTGCTGCAAAAAGATAAAACACCTGCATGAACAGGAAAGGCGCTGTCTCACTGAGCGCCCCCTTCAGGCCTGGAGCTCGTCTGTTCTGAAAACTGGATTTGCCGCGTTTAGCATTAGTTTGTTTTATTTTAGTTTTTAGTTTTCTGAGCGTCTCACTCTGCAACACGTTTCCTGTTCATGCACGTGTTTTTGTGTATTTTCAGCGTGTTGATATCTTAGCAGCATGTCCGTCAGTGTGTTTGTTTTGGTCTTCTGCACGTGTTTTTGAACACGCATTGTCTCTGAATTTGCTGTTGCATGTCACTTGAACTCATTGGCCATCGTGATATTTTAATTTGATAAACAAACTTCTTTCATGTTATTAAAAGTGAAACAAAAATCGGAGATATCTTTTGTTCAGATTTAAATTAAACCTTCAAAGAGTTTGCTCCCCCGACAGTTTTACACAAAATGCCGATGTCATCCCTCTAAGCTCTTTTTATTTTTGTCACAGGCCGAACGGCGTGGACGACTTGCTGAAGCTCGCCAAACAGTTTGATTTCAACATGTTTCGTCGGGACGAAGAGGAAGAGGTGGACGACCCGCACCAGCAGAGTCTGGAGCTGCTGTCGGAGGACATGTTGGATTTTGAGAACGGCGATCAGAACGACTTCTCACCTTCACTTTTTGGAAACCATCAACGAGCTGAGGACACGGCTGCGGCTGGGAGAGACATTCAGGCACACCTGGATCTACAAATGGAGGACGATTTGGACCTCCTGTTCGATGGGCCGACCCAGCATGTGAGCGGAAACTTAAGTCAGGTGTCACAAGTGAAACATCCTCCTAGCACGTGTGCGGCTTCTGGGAAAACGTCTGCATCGTCTCGCACTTCTGGTGTTTCCACGACCAACACTAGAGCTGCTCCTGCAAACGACGAGTTCGAGGACGACTGGGAAAACGACGACTTGCTTAATGACTCTTTGGTTTTGGAGATGACACAAAATCCGCAGAGCTTTTCCGCTCCGACGCACTGCTCAACCCAGAAACCCGCGCGTGAAATAAAGAGTCCGGGAAGTTTTCGATGGTCAGACAGTCTGAGACAAAGATCGACCTTCAAGCTGGAGTCCAATCCTCATTTTTCTATCAAAACAAGCCAGACAGACACCTGGACTAACTCAAGGGTGGAAAACGGCTCAAAAAGGTCAGAGAAAGACCCTCAGAAGAACAATTGTCACGTTTTAGCAGGAGCGGGTTCTCAACAGAGCGTGCAAAAGTCAAACACGGTGAAATCAGATACACAGAAACAACAATCGAAACAAAGGACAAACGCGGCACCTCCTGCTCGCAGCTTTCCACTCACACCTGCAGCAGTTCCATCCCACAACGAGGCGGCCGCCATCTCTGACCTCCTGGATGACAACCTGAACTCTTTCTTCTCGTCTGATCCAGTGTGGGACGACCCGGCCGATGACGACCTTCTGTGTGAGATGTGTGAAAACGTGGAGAACCAGATCCAGAGCGCCCAGAACGTCCCCATCAAACAGACAGTTTCCATGTCGACCCAGAGAGCCGCTCTGCAGCTGTCTGTCAACAACTGGGACAACCGAACCAAACAGCCAACGGCCAATCAGAAACCTTTCCCTCCTCAAACTCTCCCCCGTGCAGCTGGGACTTCTCACGCAGGTGGTTTGGTTTCAAGCGCAGCTGAAGGTGCACAAATGAAAAGAGAGACTTTAAGGTGCGCACAGTTAAAAACCTCTTCAGGGGGTGTGGACAGTTCAGCGAGTCTGCAGGTGAGCAGCGGGGTCCAGACTGCGCCGCAGGGAAACATCCGGAAAGAGCACTTCACCTTTAAGAAGCCAAACAACCCGGTTTCCACGGTGACCAACAAAGGTAAGAACGCGTTCACCTTCAACACATCTTCCTTCACGGGTTTTGCGCCTCTCCTTCACGTGTTTTGCATCTCCTTCACGTGTTTTGCGTCTCCTTCACGTGTTTTGCGTCTCTCCTTCACGTGTTTTGCGTCTCCTTCACGTGTTTTGCGTCTCCTTCACGGGTTTTGCATCTCCTTCACGTGTTTTGCACCTCTCCTTCACGTGTTTTGCGCCTCCTTAACGTGTTTTACACCTCCTTCACGTGTTTTGCGTCACCTTCACGTGTCTTGCGCCTCTTTCACGCGTTTTGAGCCTCCTTCACGGGTTTTACGCCTCCTTCACGTGTTTTGCACCTCTCCTTCACGGTTTTGCGTCTCCTTCACGTGTTTTGCGTCTCCTTCACGTGTTTTGCATCTCCTTCACGTGTTTTGCACCTCTCCTTCACGTGTTTTGCGTCTCTCCTTCACGTGTTTTGCGTCTCCTTCACGTGTTTTGCGTCTCCTTCACGGGTTTTGCATCTCCTTCACGTGTTTTGCACCTCTCCTTCAGGGTTTTGCACCTCTCCTTCACGGGTTTTGCGTCTCCTTCACGTGTTTTGCGTCTCCTTCACGTGTTTTGCATCTCCTTCACGTGTTTTGCACCTCTCCTTCACGTGCTTTGCGTCTCCTTCACGGTTTTGCACCTCTCCTTCACGTGTTTTGCGCCTCCTTAACGTGTTTTACACCTCCTTCGCGTGTTTTGCGTCACCTTCACGTGTCTTGCGCCTCTTTCACGCGTTTTGAGCCTCCTTCACGGGTTTTACGCCTCCTTCACGTGTTTTGCACCTCTCCTTCACGTGTTTTGCGTCTCCTTCACGTGTTTTGCATCTCCTTCACGTGTTTTGCACCTCTCCTTCACGTGTTTTGCGTCTCCTTCACGTGTTTTGCGTCTCCTTCACGGGTTTTGCGTCTCTCCTTCACGTGTTTTGCGTCTCCTTCACGTGTTTTGCGTCTCCTTCATGGGTTTTGCATCTCCTTCACGTGTTTTGCACCTCTCCTTCACGTGTTTTGCACCTCTCCTTCACGTGTTTTGCACCTCTCCTTCACGTGTTTTGCGTCTCCTTCACGTGTTTTGCGTCTCCTTCACGTGTTTTGCACCTCTCCTTCACGTGTTTTGCACCTCTCCTTCACGTGTTTTGCGTCTCCTTCACGTGTTTTGCGTCTCCTTCACGTGTTTTGAGCCTCCCTCACGTGTTTTGAGCCTCCGTCCGTGTTTTGCGCCTCCTTTGCGTGTTTTGCGTCACCTTCACGTGTCTTGCGCCTCCTTTACGTCTTTTGAGCTTCCCTCACATGTTTTGCGCCTCCCTCACGTGTTTTTCACCTCCCCTTCACGTGTTTTGCGTCTCCTTCACGTGTTTTTCACCTCCCCTTCACGTGTTTTGCGCCTCCTTAACGTGTTTTACACCTCCTTCGCGTGTTTTGCGTCACCTTCACGTGTCTTGCGCCTCTTTCACACGTTTTGAGCCTCCTTCACGTGTTTTTCACCTCCCCTTCACGTGTTTTTACGCCTCCGTCCGTGTTTTGCGCCTCCTTAACGTGTTTTGCGTCACCTTCACGTGTCTTGCGCCTCTTTCACGCGTTTTGAGCCTCCCTCACATGTTTTTACGCCTTCGTCCGTGTTTTGCGCCTCCTTTGCGTGTTTTGCGTCACCTTCACGTGTCTTGCGCCTCCTTTACGTCTTTTGAGCTTCCCTCCCATGTTTTGCGCCTCCCTCACGTGTTTTACGCCTCCTTCACGTGTTTTTCACCTCCCCTTCACGTGTTTTGCGCCTCCTTAATGTGTTTTGCGTCACCTTCACGTGTCTTGCGCCTCTTTCACCCGTTTTGAGCCTCCCTCACGTGTTTTTACGCCTCCGTCCGTGTTTTGCGCCTCCTTTGCGTGTTTTGCGTCACCTTCACGTGTCTTGTGCCTCTTTCACGCGTTTTGAGCCTCCCTCACGTGTTTTACGCCTCCTTCACGTGTTTTGCACCTCCCTCACGTGTTTTGCGCCTCCTTCACGTGTTTTGCGCCTCTCCTTCACATGTTTTGTGTCTCCTTCACGTGTCTTGCGCCTCCTTCACGTGTCTTGCGCCTCCTTCACGTGTTTTGCGCCTCCTTCACGTGTTTTGTTTCTCCATCATGTGTTTTGCGCCTCCCTCGCGTGTTTTGTTTCTCCGTCATGTGTTTTGCGCCTCCTTCACGTGTGCTTCCGTCACATTTTTTGTGTCTCGTCTTGTTTCCTGCAGATTTGGGGAAATGTTCTGCGGCAGAGATCGAGCTGAAGAAGCAGCAGGCGATGGAGAGGCGTCGACAGAGGCTGCAGGCCACCCAAAACCTTCCCCGAGCTCCAACCTGAAAAACTAAAGAAACGACTTTGTGGAATCAACTAACCTGCATACGTGAAGTCTGGACTCATCTGCATGAAGGTGAAACCTCGCTGACTCTCCCGTCAGTTGTTTTGTTCACTCCTGATGACTTAAGTCTCTCGATCAGATCCTTCTACATTTTATATTTGTTCTTTACGTTATGTGACCTTGTGCCGTTTGTGTTCTTCTTTTATCTGTTCTGATATCACGCCATGTTGTTGTTCTGACTTAAAGGGACGCTCATCTTTATTTGGGAGGGGGAAAATGTGAGATTAAAGTGTGTCCTGTTTGGTGAGTACAGCGGTCATTCAGTTTTAAAGGTGTTAGGCTAGCTGTTTCCCTTTGTTTTCAGGCTTTATGCTAAGCTAGGCTAATAACGCTAAGACCACAGACTGTTTTTAAGAAGTGGAAGTGTCTGAAAAGTGAAGGTTAAACACCGTTTTCCTGAAGATCTTTACGTATTTTTGTCGTTATCTCAAGACAACGCTGTTTTCAACCCGTTATAACGAAGTTATTTCTCGATATAGCGAGAAAAGCAGAGTTGTTGTCCCAAGTGAATAGGAAACATAAGTTAGGAACTCAAGAAAACATCTGAAAATATACTCGCCGTTATCTCCAGAACACAGAGTAATGTGGCTTAAAATTGCAGGTTTTTTTACTGGCCAGCAGGGGGCGACTCTACTGGATGTAAAAAGAAGTCTGATGACATAAGACCTTCAAGTCTTTGAAGAAATTTTTCTGCTTCTCAGTTTCCAGTAAATTATATCCTAACGAGTTTATGGTCTCAATCTCTGTTAGGCTAGCTGTTTCCCTTGTTTCCAGTCTTTATGCTAAGCTAGGCTAATAACGTTAAGACCACAGACTGTTTTATGGGAAGTGGAAGTGTCTGACAAGTGAAGCCGATGCAGAATTACATACTTATTTGACTATTTTCCTTGAGATCTTGACGTATTTATGTCTTTGTCTCAAGATAACAGCGCTGTTTGTTCTCTTAATGACGAGGTCATTTCTTGATATTGTGAAAAAACTTTAATTGACTCGTTATTGCGAGTAAAGCAGAGTTGTTATCCTGAGTGAATAGGATAGATAAGTGAGGAACTCAAGAAAACAACTGGAATCGTACACGTTATCTCAGGAAAAACAGATTAAAATAAAATGGAAGAGCCTTGAAATAGCTTTTTAAATGTCCAGCAGGGGGCGACTCCACAGGTTCTAAAAATATGTATTTGAATGCTCCTACTCCTCAGTTAAATGTATTCCCTCAGTAAACGATATCCTAACCAGTTTATGGTCTCGATCTTGCGCAGCGTCGTCACAATTTCTGAATTTTTAACTTAAAAAAAAGCTAAACTGTAACCACGGCAACAAAAACAGAAGTCCTCGGTATCAGATTCGGTTTAGTTCTTGTTTTTTTTCACAGAAACAGACTCAAACGATGCCGATGTAATCTGGCGGCATGTTTGGGTTAGAGATCAGAACTTGGGTGTTTAAATACCGTCAATTAGTAAAATAAAGGCGGTTGTATCGTTGTAAAGTAAGTGTCAGTTCAAGACGCAGAATCTTCCCTTCTTTATGCTAAGCTAGGCTAACTAGCTTCATCTACCGATCAGATATGTGGCATTTAAAGAAGTGGATTTACTCTCAGATTGAAGAACTGGTCGCAGCCTAATTATTCCTAAAGGCCAGTAGGGGGCGACTCATCTCGTTTCCAGAGGTCTCTGATAATACGGTAACACTTAAATACTAATCTGCCTGACCTCGCGTTTATTTGGGGCCGTTAATTATTTTAAAAACCAAACTCAGAAACAGTTAAGATGGAAAAAGGACTAATAAATGATAGTGGTTATTACCCTCTGTGTACAGCGGCTATAGTCCTCGTTGCAGCCGTCGTGGGTTTGAATCCGGCCCTGTGCTGCACGTCGTCCCACACTCTGTCTTTCTCTCTTCAGCTGTCTCTTCCCATGAAGGCAAAAACCACTAAAAAAATATAACTTATTTAAAATGTGCAGCTACACCAGGGCGGTTAAAGGGGTGGGCCTTAACTTGTGATTGGCTTTTATTTGAAGTTTTACGGTAATCAGTTTTAAAGTAGAACAGCATGAGAGCGACAAAGATTCAGTCGTTTCCTATTGGAGTGTCCTAACGGCCAGTGAGCACCGCAGCGCCCTGTGTCTATTGCCTTCTCACTCAGCAACTCGTTAAGCTTGTGACACGTCTGTTAGTCCACCTTCAAAATAAAAGCACCACACTTCTACAAGTACACCTTCAAAATAAAAGCACCACACTTCAGAAACTGAAATTCACAGAGCTAAGAATAATAATCAATATTTATGCAGTGTGGACAACGAGCGTGTGATCTGGTGTCAGAGTAAACGGTTTATAAAATGTTTTTGAAAGTTTTGATATCAGTGTCATAAATAAAAAAGGTTCAACATGTAAGGCTTAGCTTAGCTTGATAGCTGCTTGAGAGCAGAATTCTTTATGCTAAGCTAGGCTAACCGTAATCCTGGAGAGCTTTTCTGTTCCTTTAAGATATTTAAACTCTTATTCATTTTGACGTATTTTCTTTCTGATCATGAGGACGAGGAGTCACCTGTCTCACCCGACTCTCTGCTGTTCATCGTTTCCTTTAATGCACTTTAACAGATTGGAGCCTGTTTTACCAATAAAGTTTTACTGTTGATATCGTCAGTCGTCGTGTCATTGTCTTTTCTCTGTACGATGGAAAAGTTCTCCTAACCTAAACTTTCTCATCCAGGTCTACACTCACTCACTACATTGTGCGTATGGAAGGTGTCAGGGTCCTAACTGTTAAAGTCCACTTAGTCCATGCACGCTGCGCATCATGTCTCTGTCTTTCTCAAAATGATTTTTTCATTCTGTGTCTGTTTTGACGTCATGCCGATAAAGTGATGGAAAATACTATCAGGGGTCTGCGTATTGAAGTTTTTTTTAATTATGAAGGAGTTTGTTTTGGCAGCGACAGCCACAGAAATGTCTGGACTGCTCCACAGATGTCATTACATAATGTTTAAAATTCATCATCTTCCTCTCAAAGGTTCCATATTATACAAAATCCACTTCACCATGTTCCTCTAACATGTGCCCCTAATCTGTCTACAAACCCCCCAATGATGAGAAAAGTCCATCCTCTCCGTCTTCTGCCTGCTCCACTTTTCAGAAAATGTGTGCTCAAACAGGCCGTTTGGAGATTTTCCCTTCATGACATCACAAAGGGCAGTAGCCCCTCCCCCAGGTGGGTGACACTCCCACAGCTAGGTGTTTGTTCTGCCCTCTGAGTCTGCCTTCTCACCGTAAACAATAGGACATGTCAGGCCTGGGATTGGCTGGTGAACAGTCCAGGGTGTAACCCCGCCTATCGCCCAATGACAGCTGAGATCAGCTCGAGTCCCTCGCGACCCTGAACAGGAAAAGCAGTATAGATAATGGATGGATGGACATCAGTGATTGGCCAGTTTATATGGCAAGCTGAACGCACATCTAGAGTCTCTCCAGGTGTCTCTCACCTGTGGGGTTTCTCTGCCCCCCCTCGCCTCCCTCGTTCCCTACACCAACGTGGCTGAACGTGTTTACAGCCGATCCTGTTACTCCCCTGCAGGTCTCAAGTCACCTGAGAGGTTTGCTGAACTCTGAGTGACCCCGCCTCCCTCCTCTGCTTCATTCATTATTCCTGGGCCAATCACAGAGGAGAGTGACGTCCACCCTGTCAAAGACCCGAACAGGTTTCAATTTAAAGATGTTTCCTGACGTCCTCGATGCGTTAAAGGGATAGTTGATGTTTTTTTGAGTGTGGTCGTATGAGGTCACCTCGCCCCCTTTATCAGCAAACCTGTCGTTGAAGCAGTCCTTCGTACCTCATTATTGAGCTGAAAGAAGGTAAACAAACGTCGGTCTCGCCCTGCCTTGGTCCTGGTCTTCACTCGGTCTCGCCCTGCCTTGGTCCTGGTCTTCACTCGGTCTCGCCCTGCCTTGGTCCTGGTCTTCACTCGGTCTCGCCCTGCCTTGGTCCTGGTCTTCACTCGGTCTCGCCCTGCCTTGGTCCTGGTCTTCACTCGGTCTCGCCCTGCCTTGGTCCTGGTCTTCACTCGGTCTCGCCCTGCCTTGGTCCTGGTCTTGACTCGGTCTCGCCCTGCCTTGGTCCTGGTCTTGACTCGGTCTCGCCCTGCCTTGGTCCTGGTCTTGACTCGGTCTCGCCCTGCCTTGGTCTCAGTCTTGACTCGGTCTCGCCCTGCCTTGGTCCTGGTCTTGACTCGGTCTCGCCCTGCCTTGGTCTCAGTCTTGACTCGGTCTCGGAGCACTCTGGACTCGGGGACGTCTTGGTCTCGTGACTACAACAGTAGCTTTCACAGTTTAAGTCGGAGACATTAAAATGTTATTTTTTCTGTGTGAAGCATAAATTCCTCTCACAGGAGAGCATGATTCTCTGTTTTCCTTCAGGACTCGAGCTGGAACTGAACCTGACACTTCTGTTTTTACTCTCCGAATGTATCTGAGAATCCTCTCTAAATAGTTTTTGGTCGCCTCTGTGCGTTCAGAGAGCCAGAGACAGATTTCAGACTTTCATGTGAAAGTAAATCTGGAGTCTAAATCACAAACCGATGAGCAGCTTCCACGAGAGGCGGCAGGTTGGCCGAGAATGAATGAGATCTTTAATTGATGGAGACGGCAAAAACGGACCGCCTTCTTTTGCAGCTGTGCAAGGAAACCTTAAACTCTGCGTTTCTGCCATCGCCATCCTGGCAGAATGAAGAGGTGAGTGATCACTGGGGATCTGGTTAATGTTGTCATACGTTTATAAACGTTATTCTACAATTCATTCATAGAGAGAGAGAGAGAGAGAGAGGTCGTATTGGACACATAGGTGCTGACAGGAAGTGACCAGAGTGGCAGAGCTGTATCTTGTATCCTCTTTGTGGGATAGGACGAGCTGGCAGTAAGGGAGTTACAAAAGTCAATGCGTGACTATTCCGTTATAATTAGCTAATATCGGTGGTGCCCACCTTTAAGTATGTATGTGTGCACCTGGACAACAAATTGGACTGGACTGTGAACACTGACTTAGCTTAAATGTGTGAGCACTATGGGAAACTCCCGGGTTTCCTCCAGGGGATGAATGAAATATCTGAGTGTCTGTTTTTATTTTTTATTTTTTGTGGAAACTCTGTCTTCCATAGTTCTTCTAAACGTCCTGAATCAGGAGACACAGACCCTGGAAAGGTCTCCATACGTGGCCTCACAGTGACACCTGCTGGCAGGATCAGAGCGCTGCAGCCTGAAATTCCTCAGCAGATATGTGACTGTCGATAAGTTTACAGACAGGATGCAACATCTGTTTGTGCCCTTGAGCCACTGGTCGGACTCCAACCCGGGCTGCCCGCCTCAGGGACCTACATGGGGGACACAAACTAACCACTCGGCTATCGGCGCCCCTACAGACTGTATGTTCCATGATTTAATCATAACTCGGAGCTCGCCTCCCTCTTGGAGCCCCGCCCCCTTCCTGTTGTCCGAGACAGAGGTGGAGAGAATCGACTTCTCTCCTCAGTCTTGTCTTCGTCTCTCGTCGCATGAACTCGTTTTTTGGTTCCCGAGAGAGAGAGTTGATTGTGAGGGTTGCGTTCTCAGCTCGTGAAACCAGAAGGGTCGTGTCCAACATCAAAAGCCGAGTCCAGATCTCTTATACAAACTCGTTAATCACATTTTCTTTAATCACATTTCGTTAAATCAATTCCAACCTCTCGTTTTAATTTGTTACTTTCACCTTATAACGTCACCATACCAATGTCATATACCTTATAGTTTCATTAATATACTCATCCATATATATTCATTGATATGTAGCTCATTATTAGGGTAAGGGTTAGGGTAACCCTAATAAACCTTCAGAGCTAGTCCGTGTGTTCTGTGATTCAAACTGTCCTGAAGAGCTCGCCGTTCTGATATATGATTGATTGATTAATTCATTATTACAACTACGGCTGATTTCCTCCTCATCACCAGAGGTGTTTCCCCATTTTTATATTCCGAGGTAAAAATGTGTATTTATTAATATCTTAATACATTAATATGCTACATATGATGGGACAAGACGGAAGAGTTAAGATGGGACGCAATGGGACAAGAAGAGACGAGATTAGACAGAAGAGTCGAGTAGGGACGAGACGGGACGTGAACAGGCAGAGATGAGACCAAAAGGCTAGAAGAGATGAGAAGATACAGGATGAGATGAAAGGGGACATCACAGGACATGACGGAACATGAAGGGGATTGGCAGGACATGACGGGATGAGACAGGAAGAGACGAGGTGAGATTAGACAGAAGAAGAGAGAAGGTAACGAGACGGGACGGGATGGGAGAATATGTTCTATGTTATTATGTTGATTATTAGATGAAGACAGTTAAACTTTTGGTTCAGTGATTTATTAATCAGTTGTTCAAGTTCTCCTTAAATGTCTCAATTATCTGATCAGATGGGATTCAGAGATACAATTATACGGATAAAAAAGACAACAACAACGAGGCCTCTGCTCAGGAAACATCTCTTCTGTTTGAAATGATCCTTCTGACCAACACTTGCACTTGACATGTGGAGCGTGATGGACGGTGACACTATGGCTGCAAAGCGTGACGTCGTGGACTCCAGTTCATGTCAGCTCTGCAGAGGTTTCACCTGCTGAGTTATACAGCCACCATCTTTTCACAGATCCAGAAGTTCTGATCCTCACATGGGATGTCATTCCAGCTGTCGTCCATCTCATGGTGCTTTATTTCCACACAATCTTCTTTTTTGCCTTCAAATTCATTGGGCTCCCCGGGACTCCAATAACTGAAACCAACCAACAAACAATCTTAATAAGCTTCAGCATCAACATGTTTGAATATTCTCTCAGCTTTAGGTTGCAGTATTTTCCCCTGCAGATGAAGCTCTGGGGTCTTTGGTTTCTGCATCTTATTTGATTAAAAGCATTTTGTTCAAACCTTTTGGTCAGTGGCGTGCCGTCCACCCATCTCCACGTCCCATTGTGTCCTCTCCGAGTCAGTCCAATCCAAATCAGCCCATAGAACTTTCTAATGAAGTCCTGCTTACACAGAAAGATCAGAAATCTTTAGAGTCACCGAGGTCAGGGGTTCACAAACGTTGTCATGCTAAAGACCCCTGCATTAGTTTCTGGTAGGGAATCTCCGTCTTTCCTAATATCTATATCTGAATCAGCCCCAAGTCTCACACCTGTTCCTCTCTGCTGTTGATGATCACCAGGTCTGCTCCTTGCTGCAGACAGTCGACTCGACTCTCTTGCCAAGGTTTCTTCAAAGAAGAAATAAAATACAAACTGGAACGGAAATAAACCCATCCTCGTTGAAAATATGGATCTGAAGTGCGAAAACGATAAAAGACAACTTTCAAATTCAGGGTTCAGCACAATTTGTCATGGAGTGAGAAAGCCTGAGCCCTTCCAGAGAGGGGCGTGTTCAGACATAACTCATTTACATATTTAAAGGTACAGACACAGAAACAGCCTGTTCTGAGCAGAGCTGAAATAGAGGGGTTTATAGACATGATCAAATACAGGATCAGAGTGAGAACAAGAAACTTCGCACACATGTTTTGGGGAGATCTAAGACTTATTGTACTCACCAAAGTCAGTCAGATTGATCGTGGTCTTCCTGTCAGAAGTGTCTGAAAGAGCAGAAACCTTTTATTTGTTTTTTCAATCTGCAGCTCAGTGCTGATTCTGGATTCTCTTCAGGCCCGGGACAAAAACTCACAGGGGGGCCCTCCAACCAGCCTTTATCACCCTTATGTTATAAATAAACTGACACCAATGGGGACTTTGATTTACAGACTTACAAACCCCCTCATGACCCCCCAGGGGGTCCCGACCTTTTGGGATCACTTTTGGAACTTTTTATAATAATTTAAAAAACAACAGAATTAAAGTGGTATGTTGTGAGTAAGAAGACGAGGAGTCACAATCTCTTCTTACTTCTATTTTACAGCAATATGTCAGATTTTTTAGAAGTGTTATGATGCCTCATGATTCATTCTGTTTCTAAAGTTGCCCAAACTTCTCTCAGTTTAAGTTGGTCAATCCAAACCTAAGAGGAACTGCTATGTTTCTCAATCTTACTGAACCGGCTTCAACACGTTGCCCCACAAACATACTTCTAGGGGCTTGTTGTTTCTTGCCATCGCAGTGATTCGACATGTGGTGGTTATTATAAATGGAGAACGTTTCAAAGAAGTCTTTGTACAGAAAAATTACATCAAAAGGAGAAACATGATGAAATGACTCACAGATAGTGAGGCGCAGGGAAATGTTGAGAGCCACTTGTAGGAAACACAGGACGCCAAAGCTCACAGCAACCAGTGTTAAGAGTTTTCCCCCTGAGTGAAGAATCACACGGACACAATGAATCAAAGCAGCTTCTACAACGAGCTGGTTTACACAGTCATCCAGAATCATCTCAACTGTCACCTGTTGCTGGTACCTAGTGATTTAATCATTTCACTGTGAGATATTGGTGGGATTTGTAGTTCTTAAACCCAGAGGTCAGGAACAAGGTATCAGCAAAAAAGCAAGAGTCCAAAATAAGCTTAAAGTTGAGATCTTTCTGGATAAAACTACAAATCCCACCAATATCTCAAGGTGAAACGATAATATCAAGTTGAATAGATATGAGGATGTCTGAGGCAAAAGTTCAGCAGCTCCATAATAAATCAAGTTGAGTTTTAAAGTGAATGAAATCAATTGAACAGATGATATAAACATAAACTCTGCGAATCATCTAATGGGGGAAATGGCTGAATAAACTGACAGCAAACTAAAACCGATGGATCACATTTTCATACGGCTCCGACATGTTCACTGAAAGAAGAAATAAAACATTCAAGACATTTTGAACAAATATTATCTCACCAGGCGCTGCAGCAGTCACTCCTCTGACCTCCTGTCCTAAACAGCGCTTTGTGTTCGTAATCCTGGAAGATGATTCGTCCACATTGACATAATCCACCATGATCTCAGACGACTCTTTAGAGATGAACCTCACCATGTTCATTTCCAGACTGCACACTGCTGATGAAGAAAGTGTTTAAAGAGGAAGTGGGTCACACATTAGTCATATGCCAAGCATTTGCATTTCAGATCTTCCTCATTTTCTTTCACTTGATAAACAAAGATTCTGGTATTGCTATAAGGTTAAAGTTCCTGAATTTCCTCTTTTGGGTATCAGAATGAATGAATGAACCTTAGGTCTGCTTCACCTTCTTCTCTTTCTAAGCTCTCTCTACAGGATGTTTCTCTGTATTTCTCCATTTTCTCTTGTGTTTTCTTTTTCATTTTCAAGTTGTCACCAGGTATAGTTGCATTCTGGTCGTGGGGGCCGTTAGGGGGTATCAGGGTAGGGGGTATCAGCGTTGTCACTACCTGGAGCTCGCATGTAAGGAGCCTGACTCTCTTCAAGGTGGCGATGCTGTTTGGGTTGCGGTGGCGACTAATAGTGTAGAGTGTAGGTTATGTGACATATCAGTAGGATTTCGGGTTATTACCCGAAATACTGATATCCTTATCCTTTCATCAGGACACAAGGGGCCCTTTTGTGCCCCCGCCTGTTGATGAGGAGAGTCTTTTTCTTTGCTGACCTTGTCCTATACATGTCGTGTTTTCTGTCATTACAGTCTGACGTGTCAATCAACATGAAGAATGCAAAGCGTAGAGATAAAGGTTGTTTCTTCAACATGCAGTGATTTGTCGTCTGACACCGCACTGCAGCATGTACAGACCATAAAACAAACAGTTCTGACCATTGAAAGTGTTTCTCAAGGTTTCTTAGTTGGTACCAATATAAACCCCTCCAACTCACCTATAAATCTCTCCATGCTCTAGCCCCATCGTACCTCACCAACCACCTCCACCCCTACACCCTGTACCGACAGCTGTGGTCCTCAGCCTCAGGCCTGCTCTCCATCCCCCCCACACCAAACTGCCAATGTGAATTCTCTCCATGGAGGTCTCAATGGTGACCTCTGGTGGACAGAGATGTCATAACCATTCAATGTCCTGCTGGATTGATCATTGCAGTCAGGTGTGACTGCAGCCACACACCGAACATAAACCTGTAGATCTCTTCAGATCTCCATCCACTACCTCTGCCATGTGTTCCTGAACATGTAAGACATCTTGTTGTGTTTATTTATCTACTGCTTCTTAAATCTGTTTGAGCTCACTATTAAGTTTATAATGATGAGTAATTGTTTGTTGTTGGTGATTAGATTATGCTACTAATTTGAAATATGTTTGTTGATACACAGAAACCATAAACCAAAAAAAAAAATAGATTTAAAAAAAATAGATCAGCCGAGAGCTGCAGTTTTGACAAATGTAGTCAGAATATTCAGTGTAACACAGACATGCACACAGTGCACATAAAGTGTAACATGTTATTGCACAAAGTGGTTTGATAAACATAATATAACATTAATATAACATTATTATTGCACAAGGTCAGAGTGAATTGTCCGGTTGTGTGTGTGTGTGTGTTTTGTGATCTACTGGAGCAGGCTTGGTTAAACAGTCTGACTGCAGCAGGAAGGAAGGACCTGCGGTATCTCTCCTTCTGACACCGCGGGTGGTGAAGCCTGCCGCTGAAGGAGCTGCTACAGTACCATGCAGGGGGTGGGAAACGTTCTCCATCAGGGATGATAGCTTTGCCATCATCCTTCTGCCTCCCACCACCTCAACAGGGTCCAGGGGGCAGCCCAGGACAGAGCTGGCCTTCTTCACCGGTTTGTTTAGCAGGCAAGACTTTTAATTTAATTTTTGTTTGGTTTCTAGGGTGCCAGCCAGGGCTGTCCCTGGCAAAAGTTGTTTTGTTTGTAATTTGTTGTCAAAAAGTCACCACACTTATTGTAAAAACCAACACAAAGGATGTAAAAGTATAAAACTTAACCACCTTATACAAATAATAAAAATGATACAGAAAACTTCCACACAGGTTCATTTCAATAAATTGTTATTGTATTAGGTCAACAGAAAACCCAACAACCACAAAAATATATCACCAGCAACTTTGATCAAAAACAACATTTTCTCAGTCTCTCTCTTTCTGAGGTAAATCAAAACAATCAACAAAAATGACATTTTTCTGGCTCTTAATTTTCAGTTCAAAACAAAAATGTGTCTTTCTGAGTGAAAAGAAAAGAAAAATAAAGTCAATTCAGTTCAGAAAACAAAACAACTCACAGTCTGTCAGGTCCGGTCAGGGCACGTCAAAGAGCAGTAGCCAACGGTCTTTGACTGAACCGGCTGTCACGGTTTCCTGCTGAGTGATCTGCGGGGTGCAGTGGCGTTGAGGAGAGCGTTGCTGAGGGCCTTAATTACCTTGACTTTTCCGTCTAGCTGCAGGGTGCAGAGCTAAGCAGGCGATCATCTGTCTTCCTCCTTGACACGGCTTGAATTTACCGCTCTCTTGTTTGACAGGCGTGATGACCTGTCAAGATTTAAATCCCTGATCAGGACCCACCTTTTCACACCTGCTTTGAACTGCTCTGTGTAACTCTGTAAAGTGTCTTCAAGTGTTTTGAAAAGCTCTATATGAATAAAATGTATTTTTATTATGAGTGATATTTCGTCCGTCCTTGACCTTTTTTTATTTCTTTTGATTGACATTTAATTCCCAAAACATTGAAGTTTGTAAAGAGTAAACGCTTCGGCGCCATAAGTCGTACATCACCAGCGAAGCTGCTTGAACTTATAAATAAATAATCATTATTTAATTTCCTGTTTGACCGTCAAAGCGCTAAAATCATTCCTACTGGTGACCAAAGTGTTGGTTTGTCGTGTTCTGTTATCTCGTATTTACAAGTCACAAAGTCCACTGCACTGACTGATATCAGAGGCCAGAGCTCAAAGGTAGAAAGAAGAAGTGATTCTGCTGAAGCTGCAGAAAGAACAGAGACAGGCGAGTGGAAGGCCGCAGGAAAGAAACGTGACAGGAAGGAACTGGAGAGGACAACTGCGAGAAGCCATCAGAATAGAGAGACACACATTCAATTCTGGAAAAACTGGCAAAATAAACCGACAACTGAGCGAAGGAGACGAGAGTGAAGAAGGAAAGGAGGCAAAAAAGATCCATGTAATGGAGAGTTCAACAAACTGACTCCTGGAACATCTAAAACCCCAGCAGAAAAACTGAGACAGACGGGGAACATATCTGGAGAACATATCTGGAGAACATATAGAGAACGTAAAAGAACATTTGGAGAAGATAAAGGGGAACATTTGGAGAAAAGAAAGGAAACTTAAGTAGAACCAAGTCTCCAATTCTTCAGAGAAAATGGACATCGGCTCCCCAAGAGACAAGTAAGTCCAAAATGTTTTCATTTTATGAATCAATCATTAAGAATCAATAATCAACAGTGTGGACTTCATAGATCCACATTCTGTGTCTGAAAGTTTAGTTTCAACTTTCAGTTCAAAAGTTAAACTGGTTGATTGACTGATTGATTTACAGTTACAACAATAAAAACGCAACAAAAAATGTCTTCCTACAGGTGTTTCGGCGTTTGGCTGATCTTCTTCATGCTCGGATTGGGAACTCTGCTCCCCTGGAACTTCTTCATGACCGCCACTGTGGTATGAAATTACATCATACATGATGAAATTACATCATGTAGGTACCACGAGAAGGCCTGATGACTGAAGGCTCTACCTCCCATAGTACATTTAGAGCAGGGGTGCCCAACCTTTTTTGAACCAAGATCTACTTTTAAAGTTCCCAGTCTGCCGAGATCTACCAGTCCACATAGTGAGCCATAGCCGTTACCAACAGCCTACAAACGCATTTAATACTCACACAACAAACAGAAAATAATAAATGAGAGTTCTGTAAAAAATAATGCAAATTTTTTAAACTCTTATTTTAGGGGAGGCTACAATTTAATATTACGTTTGTATTTATATCACATATGTTTTTCCCTTAATTTAGTTTACAACAAACAACTTTAATCTGTGTGGAGATGTTCACAGACTACAGCAGGCTGCTGTGAGATGATGTTGCTTTTGTTAAATTAGCTGCAGACACGGTGAGAGTGAACGGAGTAAAGTCCAACCGACCGTTTGACCGGGTCACGTGTTCCCGCCTCGGTCCGTACGGATCAACTGTGTGCTGTAGCACTGAAAGTAAAAAGGTTCGCGTGGTGGCTGGCGCTCCAGTGCAAGTGTGTGTGTGTGTGTGTGCGTGTGCGTGTGTGTGTGTGTGCGTGTGTGTGTGTGCGCTGTTTGTTGGTGTGTCTCGTGCCCCGCGATGCTCACAGTCATGACAGCAGAGAGGAGCAGAGAAAAGTAGCTGCAGCTTCATCAAATGCGCTTAATACTCGTAGCATAGTTTCTATATATGACTTTTTGGTAAAACATTTACCCCCCCCCCGGTTTTACCTGCACGTCATTGCGCATGCCTGCACTCTCTCCCGCGCGCTCTCTCGCTCTCTCTCTCTCTCTCTCTCTCTCGCTCCCCCGCGCGCTCGCTCTCTCGCTCGCTCGCTCTCTCTCTCTCGCTCCCCCGCGCGCTCTCTCGCTCGCTCGCTCTCTCTCTCTCGCTCCCCCGCGCGCTCTCTCGCTCGCTCTCTCTCTCGCTCGCTCGCTCGCTCGCTCTCTCTCTCTCGCTCTCTCTCTCTCTCTCGCTCCCCCGCGCGCTCTCTCGCTCGCTCTCTCTCTCGCTCTCTCGCTCGCTCTCTCTCTCTCTCTCTCGCTCTCGCTCTCTCGCTCTCTCTCTCTCGCTCCCCCGCGCGCTCTCTCGCTCTCTCTCTCGCTCTCTCATGCACGCAGCAATTTCATGAATAAATGAAAAATTAAATACACACAGGTCGGAAGTATACTTGGCTCCCCACACAGGTATCGTGTGTGGGAAAAACTGCAATGAGATGAAATTGAAATCACTTTTCTATTTTACAATTGTATTTTATATTGACTAAACATCTCGATGGACTGAGAATCAGTCAGCGATCTACCTGTCGATCGCGATCGACTGTTTGGGCACCCCTGATTTAGAGACTGTAGGTACCACGAGCAGGCTGATGACTGAAGGCTCTACCTCCCATAGTACATTTAGAGACTGTAGGTACCACGAGCAGGCCTGATGACTGAAGGCTCTACCTCCCATAGTACATTTAGAGACCGTAGGTACCACGAGCAGGTCTGACAACTGAAGGCTCTACCTCCCATAGTACATTTAGAGACTGTACCACGAGCAGGCCTGATGACTGAAGGCTCTACCTCCCATAGTACATTTAGAGACTGTACCACGAGCAGGTCTGATAACTGAAGGCTCTACCTCCCATAGTACATTTAGAGACTGTACCACGAGCAGGCCTGATAACTGAAGGCTCTACCTCCCATAGTACATTTAGAGACTGTAGTACCACGAGCAGGCCTGATAACTGAAGGCTCTACCTCCCATAGTGCATTTAGAGACTGTAGGTACCACGAGCAGGTCTGATAACTGAAGGCTCTACCTCCCATAGTGCATTTAGAGACTGTAGGTACCACGAGCAGGCCTGATGACTGAAGGCTCTACCTCCCATAGTACATTTAGAGACTGTACCACGAGCAGGCCTGATGACTGAAGGCTCTACCTCCCATAGTACATTTAGAGACTGTACCACGAGCAGGCCTGATGACTGAAGGCTCTACCTCCCACAGTACATTTAGAGACTGTACCACGAGCAGGCCTGATAACTGAAGGCTCTACCTCCCATAGTACATTTAGAGACTGTAGGTACCACGAGCAGGCCTGATAACTGAAGGCTCTACCTCCCATAGTACATTTAGAGACTGTACCACGAGCAGGCCTGATGACTGAAGGCTCTACCTCCCATAGTACATTTAGAGACTGTACCACGAGCAGGCCTGATGACTGAAGGCTCTACCTCCCATAGTACATTTAGAGACTGTACCACGAGCAGGCCTGATGACTGAAGGCTCTACCTCCCACAGTACATTTAGAGGCTGTACCACGAGCAGGCCTGATGACTGAAGGCTCTACCTCCCACAGTACATTTAGAGACTGTAGGTACCACGAGCAGGTCTGATAACTGAAGGCTCCACCTCCCATAGTACATTTAGAGACTGTAGGTACCACGAGCAGGTCTGATAACTGAAGGCTCTACCTCCCACAGTACATTTAGAGACTGTACCACGAGCAGGCCTGATGACTGAAGGCTCTACCTCCCACAGTACATTTAGAGACTGTACCACGAGCAGGCCTGATGACTGAAGGCTCTACCTCCCACAGTACATTTAGAGACTGTACCACGAGCAGGCCTGATGACTGAAGGCTCTACCTCCCACAGTACATTTAGAGACTGTACCACGAGCAGGCCTGATGACTGAAGGCTCTACCTCCCACAGTACATTTAGAGACTGTACCACGAGCAGGCCTGATGACTGAAGGCTCTACCTCCCATAGTACAAACGTTGTCATGTTTACGTCGTCAGCAGGAACCAATGAGCTTTGAGTCAGACAGAACTGAGTGTCACTCACACAGTCTGAAAGTAACATGTTTATGTGTTTTTGTGTCTCAGTACTTCACTAGCCGCCTGAAGGACTCCTCATTGGTTGATTCTATAGCCAATCAGACTGCAGCAGATGAACCTCGGGGTTTCCTGGAGGCTAAATTCAACAATGTGATGACAATGTGCGCCATGCTGTCACTGCTTATCTTTACCTGCCTCAACTCTTTCCTTCACTCACGGTGAGTACTCCACACACCAACCAGGAAAAGTCCTCCAACACGACATTCTTCTTCTTCATGGTTTTTATAAAGCACATATTTCAGGAAGCTCTAGGTCATTCCAGGACTTCAAGGAGATCCTGGAAATGGTTGGGTAGTTAGACTAGTGGTACTCTTATTCTGACCTGCCTCTTCCTCCTTCTGTCCCTCACCTTCCTCTGACCCTCCTCCTAATCCCCTCTTCCTTTGACTCTCCTCTTCCTCTCGTCTGACCCTCCTCTTCCTCTGTCAGCATCTCCCAGCGTCTGCGGGTGATGGGCAGTCTGTTCATCATCATGTCCGTCTTCATCGTCACTGTTGTCCTGGTCAAAGTTCCTCTGGAGCCGCTGCCCTTCTTCATCGTTACCATGGTGAAGATCGTCATCATCAACGGTGAGCCTCTTAGCCTGTTTTTTGTTTGCATACTTTGTTTACCATCTTTTTATTTAAATGTTTATTTGATTTGTTTGCTGGATCATGGCTTCATTTAGGCAGTGCTTCAAATTCTTTGTTTGTATTTGTTTGTTTCTTCGTTGACAGCGTTCGGGGCAGTTCTTCAGGGCTCTCTGTTCGGGATGGCGGGGTTGTTGCCGGCGTCGTACACGACTCCGATCATGAGCGGTCAGGGACTTGCTGGAACCTTCGCTGCCATCTCCATGATCTGCGCCATCACAAGTCCGATAAATAACTCTTTAATAACTATCCAATAACTCAGTATCTAAATAATAATAACATCGCTTCATGAAAATGTGGTTAAATGGGACAAAGACCAAAGGACACATCATTGATATCCGCTTTCCTTCCCTCCTCTCCTAGGTGGTTCAGAGCTTCAGGATGCGGCCTTCGGTTATTTCATCACGGCCTGTTTTGTTATTTTTCTGTCCATCCTCTCCTATATCATGCTACCTAAGCTGGTGACTGACACACACACACACACACACACACACACACACACACACACACTGGTGTTGTAGTACATGGAATCTGTCTTGGTCCATTTTTTGAAGGTCTCATCTCAGAATCTGAAGCACTTATACTCAGCCTCAGACTGGGCGGAAAAACGTCTCTTTTTAAAAGAACAAATAACTTAAATTAATTTGTAGTTAGATTTTTGTCCCCCGGTTACGGCCGCAACCTTCCCAGTGTTACGTGTGAGGGACACGCCCACTGCACACTGGATGATGATTTTCTGTCATATTTATGGTCTTCATCTTGATCTTGGTCTTGTCTTGGTCTTGACTTGGTCTCGATACCTAAATATCTTGTCTTGTCTCTGTCTCGGAGCACTCTGGTCTCGGCTAGTGTGGTCTGGACTACAACACACATACACAGCTGATGGGTCACAGATGAAGCTCATTTTGTATTTTTTGTGTTTTTTGCTTCAGGAGTTTTTCCAGTTTTATCAGGACAGAAACAGGAAGCAGAAAACAGATGAACACAATTCTGTGAATCTCATGAACAAAGGTAAAGACAAACTTTTTTTTAATTATTTAATCTAGCGATGTCAGCATTAAGTAGTATATTGCGATTAATTAAAGCGTCCTCAGTGTCTCCCTGTAGTCTCAGTGATGTAAAAGAACACTGCTGCATCTTTGAATGTCTCGAGTCCAAAGTAATATCCACCTCCATGAAGTCGTCTTTCTTTTTTCTTTCTTCCTGTTTTTCTTCAGAGGTTCATGCTGAATCAGGCGACCAAAACAAACATCAGGACGTCTCCATGATTAAAATCTTTAAGAAGGTGAGACATCCTCAGAGACCATGGGATTCAGACGACGGTTAAAAAGTTCCAAATTTAAATTAATAACAGCTGAAAGTTCTTCACAACTTTTTTTTATGTTTCAGTGCAGCTGGGACACCTCTCTGTTAAATTTGTAGTTCAATAGTTTGTAGATTTTATATTTTGTGGGGTTTACAGTTTTTAGTTTAAATAGTGTTTATGGTTTGTAGTTTCTCAGTCTAGTTTGTAGTTTTTTATGGTTTATAGTTTTTATGGTTTATAGTTTTTATAGTTTATAGTTTTTATAGTTTTTATGGTTTATAGTTTTTATAGTTTTTATGGTTTATAGTTTTTATAGTTTTTATGGTTTGTAGTTTTTATGGTTTTTATGGTTTATAGTTTTTATGGTTTATAGTTTTTATAGTTTTTATGGTTTGTAGTTTTTATGGTTTATAGTTTTTATAGTTTTTATGGTTTGTAGTTTTTATGGTTTTTATGGTTTATAGTTTTTATAGTTTTTATGGTTTATAGTTTTTATAGTTTTTATGATTTGTAGTTTTTATGGTTTATAGTTTTTATAGTTTATAGTTTTTATGGTTTGTAGTTTTTATGGTTTATAGTTTTTATGGTTTGTAGTTTTTATAGTTTATAGTTTTTATGGTTTGTAGTTTTTATGGTTTATAGTTTTTATAGTTTTTATGGTTTGTAGTTTTTATGTTTATGGTTTGTAGTTTTTATGGTTTGTAGTTTTTATGGTTTGTAGTTTTTATAGTTTTTATAGTTTATAGTTTTTATGGTTTATAGTTTTTATGGTTTGTAGTTTTTATAGTTTTTATGGTTTATAGTTTTTATGGTTTATAGTTTTTATGGTTTGTGGTTTTTATAGTTTTTATGGTTTATAGTTTTTATGGTTTATAGTTTTTATGGTTTTTATGGTTTGTAGTGTTTATGGTTTATAGTTTTTATAGTTTATAGTTTTTATGGTTTGTAGTTTTTATGGTTTATGGTTTGTAGTTTTTATGGTTTATAGTTTTTATGGTTTATAGTTTTTATGGTTTGTAGTTTTTATGGTTTATAGTTTTTATAGTTTTTATGGTTTATAGTTTTTATGGTTTATAGTTTTTATGGTTTGTAGTTTTTATAGTTTTCATGGTTTATAGTTTTTATGGTTTGTAGTTTTTATGGTTTATGGTTTGTAGTTTTTATGGTTTATAGTTTTTATGGTTTATAGTTTTTATGGTTTGTAGTTTTTATAGTTTTTATAGTTTATAGTTTTTATGGTTTGTAGTTTTTATGGTTTATGGTTTGTAGTTTTTATGGTTTATAGTTTTTATGGTTTATAGTTTTTATAGTTTTTATGGTTTGTAGTTTTTATGGTTTATAGTTTTTATGGTTTATAGTTTTTATGGTTTGTAGTTTTTATGGTTTATAGTTTTTATAGTTTTTATGGTTTGTAGTTTTTATGGTTTATAGTTTATAGTTTTTATGTTTTGTAGTTTTTATGGTTTATAGTTTTTATAGTTTTTATAGTTTATAGTTTTTATGGTTTGTAGTTTTTATGGTTTATGGTTTGTAGTTTTTATGGTTTGTAGTTTTTATGGTTTATGGTTTGTAGTTTTTATGGTTTGTAGTTTTTATAGTTTTTAAAGTTTATAGTTTTTATGGTTTATAGTTTTTATGGTTTGTAGTTTTTATAGTTTTTATGGTTTGTAGTTTTTATGGTTTATAGTTTTTATGGTTTGTAGTTTTTATGGTTTATAGTTTTTTCTTCTGTAGTTTTTATGGTTTATAGTTTCTCAGTCTAGTTTGTAGTTTTTTATGGTTTGTAGTTTTTATAGTTTTTATAGTTTATAGTTTTTATGGTTTGTAGTTTTTAAGGTTTGTAGTTTTTATGGTTTATAGTTTTTTCTTCTGTAGTTTTTATGGTTTATAGTTTCTCAGTCTAGTTTGTAGTTTTTTATGGTTTGTAGTTTTTATAGTTTTAAGTCTTTAAAAGTGTTTATAGTCGTATATTTAAAGTATTCAATGAATCTTTGTTTTAGTCCTTAAAGGCTTAATATGTGATTTTTCACACTTAAATGTAGAAATCAAGTCTCTCCTCTGAAAATAACTCTGTGAGTCATGACTGTCTCCAATGGGTGTAACACCCGAGTCCCACTGTCTGTGATGTTTTCAGAGTTTTCAGAGTCCTATCTTCACTTTGTTTACATCGCCAGGACGGCCGGCTGACTCCTCCCCTCTTGTATAAAAGTTGTTTAATTGAGGGACTAGAGAAAAGAAGAATAACATACTGTACTCACTGCTTAACTGTGTTTCTAGATCACGCTCATTTCAGGTAAATTTACATGCAGTGTGAAGATACCAGCAGAATAAAGATCGCTAGCATTAGCATGCTAACACAACAATGCAGCGCCAGTTGTTTTGGTGTCATGCTGGTGCTCAAGGGCGACACCTGCTGGATCAAAAAATGACATATAAAGACTTTAAATAACACAATCACATTGATCATTGTTTTATTTTCAAAACTGAGTTACTGTTATTCTTCTCTTCTGACCTTTGACCCTCAGATCTGGTTGTTGGCTCTGTCCGCGTGTTTCACGTTCACCGTCACCATAGGAATGTTTCCCGCCATCACTGCTGACACCAAATCCACGCTAGCTGAGGGAGGATCCTGGGGTGAGTCCGCACGTCACTTCCTGTTTGTGTCACAAGCTTTCTTCTTCTGTGGTGGTTTCACTTCCTTCCATCACATGATCCATCTGAAACTGAGTGTCTTTTTCTTTTCTTTTTTGAAAATCAAACATTCAGTAACAAACAAGCAACACCAAACAGCTGCTAACGAACATTTTTATTTTAATCAATCAATCTTTATTTGGACAGCGCCAATTTTTAACAAGGGTTATCTCGAGGCGCTTTACAAAAGAGCAGATAGAAGACCTTACTCTCTGTTAAGAAAAATGAGATAGAGGGAGATGCGATAATATGCAGGAAGGATTTCTCCTTATATTCCTCGTGTTCCTGTTGTCCACACCTCGCCGTTGAGGTGGAGGTCGCAGCAGGCCGTGCATGAATGAGGACGGCGGTGGATGTTGGATGACACAGTCCGATGGTGGAGACTGGGCGTCGGGTGGTGGTTGTTGTGGGGACGACTAAAGTTGGAAAACTTTCCATGGGAATTAACTTTAATCTATGGGAGTTAATGGGAATAAACCAGGAATTTACTAAATTGAAGGTTGGCCCTGAACAGGGAACTTAAATATAGTTGGGGAAAATATATTTTAGCATAATCTTGACTAAAACAACCAGATTTCATGCAGGGACACTTGAATATCTCTGCTCAATCACAAGAGCATAGCACACTGCTTACTGCAGGGTTATTGAGGCCACGCCCCCTACATGCACTGTGCATTCCTCCATCACATGCACAGAGCACAAGACAATTCAAGCCACACATTTTAGCCCATATTTAACTCAACATTCATGTTTTTGTTCTCCATAAAATAATTGATTGTTCAATAAAATAATTTAAGTTCTACTTACAAATAAATCTTCAAATGTCATGTTTTTTAATCGTATCATTGCATGGATGTCTGTTTATGAGAAAACAACAATGTTTATATTTATGCTTGGATATGATTTTTCAATTGATATTACCCTCAATTTCCAGTTAATTCCCATGGAAAGTTTTAGATTTGGAATATTTCCAATATCCCCAGCTTAACTTCCCATGGAAAGTGCTGGAAATTTACCGGAAATTTTCCACCCCTTTGCAACCCCCATGGACGACACAGTCCGATGGTGGTGGCTGGGCATCGGGGACGTCGGATTGTACTAGTTCCAGATCACTCGCTGAAGGCTCAGTCTGCTTGAGAGCCGGGCTTCTGCTGCCGGGGCGAGGCCTCCTAGGTTGAAGGAACTCTTCCGGTTTTGTTTTTTAATAACTAGTTATTCTTGTTGTTGTTTTTATTGTTGTTGGTTTACCCTGAAACGAAGGACACTCCGGATTTTCCCACTATGGACCATAACGTAATCCTCTTACTGCCAACGTTCAGGTGAAGCAAAGTGTTTTTAATGACACGTATTTGCACTCACTAACGTCAAATATCCACCTGTGACCATGCAGACCCTCTGGTCAAACCTCTGATCAGTCCTCTGTCACTCAGGTGCTTCAGGTGTTGTTGCTTGAAGAGAACATGTGAGTGTGTTCATGTTTATGATCTGATATCAGGTATTAATGATTAAACTGCTGACTGGCATAGTTACATAACGAGAGAGGGCGGATTGATTATTGATCAATAGATTACTTAATGCTGTTAGAAATGTTACTTAAAATATAAATAATGTTTGTGATGATGTCACTGTATTGATTCATAGTTTTAATTATTGGTCCTGCTGATTGGCTCTTTCACAGATCAATACTTCATCCCTGTCAGCTGCTTCCTGCTCTTTAACCTGTGTGATTGGACTGGGCGGAGCTTAACAGCTTTTTGTATGTGGGTGAGTTAAGTATAAAATTCAACCTTACAGTCACCTGTCTGTGTTCACCTGTCTGTGTTTATCTGTCTGTGTTCACCTGTCTGTCTACACCTGTCTGTGTTCACCTGTCTGTCTAAACCTGTCTGTGTTCACCTGTCTGTCTATATCTGTCTGTCTACACCTGTCTGTGTTCACTTGTCTGTCTATACCTGTCTGTGTTCACCTGTCTGTCTATATCTGTCTGTCTACACCTGTCTGTGTTCACTTGTCTGTCTATACCTGTCTGTGTTTACCTGTCTGTCTATATCTGTCTGTCTAAACCTGTCTGTGTTCACCTGTCTGTCTACACCTGTCTGTGTTCACCTGTCTGTCTAAACCTGTCTGTGTTCACCTGTCTGTCTATATCTGTCTGTCTACACCTGTCTGTGTTCACCTGTCTGTCTATATCTGTCTGTCTACACCTGTCTGTGTTCACCTGTCTGTCTGAACCTGTCTGTGTTCACCTGTCTGTCTATGCCTGTCTGTGTTCACCTGTCTGTGTTCACCTGTCTGTCTATACCTGTCTGTGTTCACCTGTCTGTCTGAACCTGTCTGTGTTCACCTGTCTGTCTATGCCTGTCTGTGTTCACCTGTCTGTGTTCACCTGTCTGTCTATACCTGTCTGTGTTCACCTGTCTGTCTAAACCTGTCTGTGTTTACCTGTCTGTCTGAACCTGTCTGTGTTCACCTGTCTGTCTATGCCTGTCTGTGTTCACCTGTCTGTGTTCACCTGTCTGTCTATACCTGTCTGTGTTCACCTGTCTGTGTTTATCTGTCTGTGTTCACCTGTCTGTCTACACCTGTCTGTGTTCACCTGTCTGTCTAAACCTGTCTGTGTTCACCTGTCTGTCTATATCTGTCTGTCTACACCTGTCTGTGTTCACCTGTCTGTCTATATCTGTCTGTCTACACCTGTCTGTGTTCACTTGTCTGTCTATACCTGTCTGTGTTTACCTGTCTGTCTATATCTGTCTGTGTTCACCTGTCTGTGTTCACCTGTCTGTCAATACCTGTCTGTGTTCACCTGTCTGTCTCCACACATTGATCTTTGATTTGATGGCTGTATTATCCTTTGTGTGTTTCAGCCGCAGAAGGACAGTATGTTACTCCCGGCGTCCATCGTGTGTCGTCTCGTGTTCGTCCCTCTCTTCATGTTGTGTAACGTTCATCCTCGTTTTAACCTGCCTGTCTTCTTTCATCATGACGCCTGGTTCATCGTCTTCATGGTCCTCTTTGCTTTCAGCAACGGTTACCTGGCCAGCCTGTGCATGTGCTACGGGCCAAAGTATGCACCTGACATCAAACACACCTGAAAAACACCTTTCAAGACCTAAAATATGTCCAGACACCTGACAACACTGACAAACCACCGAAACATGTGTAAACACCTGAAAACATCTGGTAACACCTAGATCTCGATTCACAAGCCATAGTCTTTGTCAGAGCCCGTGCTCCACGACATCAACACCTAAAAAAACACCTGACAACACCTTCTAATATCTGCCAATATCTGCCAACACCTGCCAACACCTGTCAACACCTTCCAATACATGTCAACACCTTCCAACACCTGCCAACACCTGACAACACCTGCCAACACTTGAAAACACTGAATGACACCTGTCAACACCTTCCAATACCTGCCAACACCTGCCAACACCTTCCAATACATGTCAACACCTTCCAACACCTGTCAACACCTGTCAACACCTTCCAATACATGTCAATACCTTCCAATACCTGCCAAAACCTTCCAACACCTGTCAACACCTGTCAACACCTTCCAATACCGGCCAACACCTTCCAATACCTTCCATGTCAACACCTTCCAATACCTGCCAACACTGAATGACACCTGTCAACACCTTCTAATACCTGCCAACACCTGCCAACACCTGCCAACACCTGTCAACACCTGTCAACACATGTCAACACCTTCCAATACCTGCCAACACCTGCCAACACCTTCCAATACATGTCAACACCTTCCAACACCTGTCAACACCTGTCAACACCTGTCAGCACCTTCCAATACATGTCAATACCTTCCAATACCTGCCAAAACCTTCCAACACCTGTCAACACCTGTCAACACCTTCCAATACCTGCCAACACCTTCCAATACCTTCCAATACCTTCCATGTCAATACCTTCCAATACCTTCCATGTCAACACCTTCTAATACCTGCCAACACCTGCCAACACTGAATGACACCTGTCAACACCTTCCTATACCTGCCAACACCTGCCAACACCTGTCAACACCTTCCAATACATGTCAACACCTGTCAACACCTTCCAATACATGTCAGCACCTTCCAATACCTGCCAAAACCTTCCAACACCTTCCAATACCTGCCAACACCTGTCAACACCTTCCAATACCTGCCAACACCTTCCAATACCTGCCAACACCTTCCAATACCTGCCAACACCTTCCAATACATGTCAACACCTTCCAACACCTTGCAATACCTGCCAACACCTGTCAACACCTGTCAACACCTTCCAACACCTTCAATACATGTCAACACCTTCCAATACCTGCCAACACCTTACAATACCTGCCACACCTGTCAACACCTGTCAACACCTTCCAATACCTGCCAATACCTTCCAATACATGTCAACACCTTCCAATACATGTCAACACCTTCCAATACCTGCCAACACCTGTCAACACCTGACAACACCTGACAACACCTGAAAACACTGAATGACACATGTCAACACCTTCCAATACCTGCCAACACCTGCCAACACCTTCAAATACCTGCCAACACCTGTCAACACCTGAAAACACTGAATGACACATGTCAACAGCTTCCAATACCTGCCAACACATGTCAACACCTGTCAACACCTTCCAATACCTGCCAACACCTGTCAACACCTGTCAACACCTGTCAACACCTGTCAACACCTTCCAATAAATGTCAACACCTTCCAACACCTGCCAACACCTGTCAACACCTTCTAATACCTGCCAACACCTTCCAATACCTGCCAACACCTGTCAACACCTTCCAATACCTGCCAACACCTGTCAACACCTTCCAATACATGTCAACACCTTCCAACACCTGTCAACACCTGTCAACACCTGTCAACACCTTCCAATACATGTCAATACCTTCCAATACCTGCCAAAACCTTCCAACACCTGTCAACACCTGTCAACACCTTCCAATACCGGCCAACACCTTCCAATACCTTCCATGTCAACACCTTCCAATACCTGCCAACACTGAATGACACCTGTCAACACCTTCTAATACCTGCCAACACCTGCCAACACCTGCCAACACCTGTCAACACCTGTCAACACATGTCAACACCTTCCAATACCTGTCAACACCTGCCAACACCTGCCAACACCTGTCAACACATGTCAACACCTTCCAATACCTGCCAACACCTGCCAACACCTTCCAATACATGTCAACACCTTCCAACACCTGTCAACACCTGTCAACACCTGTCAGCACCTTCCAATACATGTCAATACCTTCCAATACCTGCCAAAACCTTCCAACACCTGTCAACACCTGTCAACACCTTCCAATACCTGCCAACACCTTCCAATACCTTCCAATACCTTCCATGTCAATACCTTCCAATACCTTCCATGTCAACACCTTCTAATACCTGCCAACACCTGCCAACACCTGTCAACACATGTCAACACCTTCCAATACCTGCCAACACCTGAAAACACTGAATGACACCTGTCAACACCTTCCTATACCTGCCAACACCTGCCAACACCTGTCAACACCTTCCAATACATGTCAACACCTGTCAACACCTTCCAATACATGTCAGCACCTTCCAATACCTGCCAAAACCTTCCAACACCTTCCAATACCTGCCAACACCTGTCAACACCTTCCAATACCTGCCAACACCTTCCAATACCTGCCAACACCTTCCAATACCTGCCAACACCTTCCAATACATGTCAACACCTTCCAACACCTTGCAATACCTGCCAACACCTGTCAACACCTGTCAACACCTTCCAACACCTTCAATACATGTCAACACCTTCCAATACCTGCCAACACCTTACAATACCTGCCAACACCTGTCAACACCTGTCAACACCTTCCAATACCTGCCAATACCTTCCAATACATGTCAACACCTTCCAATACATGTCAACACCTTCCAATACCTGCCAACACCTGTCAACACCTGACAACACCTGACAACACCTGAAAACACTGAATGACACATGTCAACACCTTCCAATACCTGCCAACACCTGCCAACACCTTCAAATACCTGCCAACACCTGTCAACACCTGAAAACACTGAATGACACATGTCAACAGCTTCCAATACCTGCCAACACATGTCAACACCTGTCAACACCTTCCAATACCTGCCAACACCTGTCAACACCTGTCAACACCTGTCAACACCTTCCAATAAATGTCAACACCTTCCAACACCTGCCAACACCTGTCAACACCTTCTAATACCTGCCAACACCTTCCAATACCTGCCAACACCTGTCAACACCTGTCAACACCTGTCAACACCTGTCAATACCTTCCAATACATGTCAACACCTGCCAACACCTTCCAATACCTTCCATGTCAACACCTTCCAATACCTGCCAACACCTGTCAACACCTGACAACACTGAATGACACCTGTCAACACCTTCTAATACCTGCCAACACCTGTCAACACCTGTCAACACCTTCCCAATACATGTCAACACCTTCCAACAGTTTCCAATACCTGCCAACACCTGTCAACACCTGTCAACACCCTCCAATACATGTCAACACCTTCCAACACCTGTCAACACCTGTCAACACCTGCCAACACCTTCCAACACCTTCCAATACATGTCAACACCTTCCAACACCTTGCAATACCTGCCAACACCTGTCAACACCTGTCAACACCTTCCAACACCTTCAATACATGTCAACACCTTCCAATACCTGCCAACACCTTACAATACCTGCCAACACCTGTCAACACCTGTCAACACCTTCCAATACCTGCCAATACCTTCCAATACATGTCAACACCTTCCAATACATGTCAACACCTTCCAATACCTGCCAACACCTGTCAACACCTGACAACACCTGACAACACCTGAAAACACTGAATGACACATGTCAACACCTTCCAATACCTGCCAATACCTTCCAATACATGTCAACACCTTCCAATACATGTCAACACCTTCCAATACCTGCCAACACCTGTCAACACCTGACAACACTGAATGACACCTGTCAACACCTTCTAATACCTGCCAACACCTGTCAACACCTGTCAACACCCTCCAATACATGTCAACACCTTCCAACACCTGTCAACACCTGTCAACACCTGCCAACACCTTCCAATACCTTCCAATACCTGCCAACACCTGCCAACACCTTCCAATACCTTCCAACACCTGCCAACACCTGAAAACACTTGAAAAAATCCTGTCAACACCCGACAACACACAACCTGTAAAGATAAACACTCAGTATTTGAACTACACAGAGCTCCATCAGAGGAGAGCAGCGGGTCATTAATATCAAACCTTAACTTTGAACATTTAATGATTAATAAAAACTAAGAGTTGATTTTTTTCTTTTTCTCCAGGAACGTTCTTCCTCATGAAGCAGAAACCGCCGGAAGCATCATGGCGTTCTTCCTGTCTCTGGGTTTGGCGTTAGGAGCCACTTCTTCCTTCATCTTCAGAGCACTGATTTAACTGGGAACTACACCTGCAGTACTGGGTTTAACTGGGAACTACATCTATTGGTTTAACTGGGAAATTCCTCTAATGGGTTCATTGTACGGGTTTAACTGGAAACTACAGCTTTAGTACTGGTTTAACTGGGAACTACATTTTTAGTACTGGTTTAACTGGGAACTACAACTATAGTACTGGTTTAACTGGAAACTTTATTTTTAGTACCGCTTTAATTGGAAACTACACCTGTTGTACTGGTTTAATTGGAAACTATGACTTTAGTACTGGTTTAACTGGGAACTATATCTTTAGTACTGGTTTAACTGGAAACTACATCTTTAGTGCTGGTTTAACTGGAAACTACATCTATTGGTTTAAATGGGAACTACATCTAAAGTACTGCTGTAACTTGAAACTTGAGTACTGGTTTAACTGGAAACTACATCTTTGTACTGGTTTAACTGGAAGACAAACTGCCTTCCAAAGCGTTGAGATATATATTTTTAAAGTTGTATTTATTACAGGTTCGAAGCAGGTTCATGTAAGGAAGCAGTGCATGCCTTTAATGGATTCCTGATAATGAACACCTGGCCAACTGTTACCCTGCTTATATCCCAGTCATATGCCAAAGAAAATAATCATTACTATTTTTGTATCCATGGTACCATCTGACTTATTCCCAGAAAGAATAATTTTCATCCCATAATGTTTCTTTATGCTGTTCACTACTACTCCAGTAAATAGACTGGGTCGACAAGTGACACATCTAGTCTGTGTTCGAAACTACATACTCACAATATGCATAATGCATACTATCCTGACCGTTCGTATGGCGTTAGCAACACAGGTCACGTGACATACTTCCAGTCCGAGCTCCATTCGATGAGCTAGCATCAAGCTAATGCGACCGTAGTCCGTAAATGTATATCAACAACAAAATGCACACTTTCTATAATAATACAGCTACAAAGTTATTTTAATATTATTTGGCAACATGTAAAATGTATTTCAGCACAGACCTTTTATCTTAAGCCACTAGTTGGCTGGCTGGCGAGCTCTGTGGTTGTACAGTCTGAGAGCTGTAATGCATTGTGGGGCGGTTTAGAAAGACCAGTATGATCCCATTTCATACTTTTGGTTTATACCAAATTACTTTGGGTATTTCTCATGGTTTAGGACACAGCCACAGTCGGCTCAACTGTTAGCCAGAAATGTAATGCTATGCTAGCAAGTTCAGAGTTACTAACTGATTCGGTTACTAACTATAGATACAGGCCGATAGAAAACTGAACACCTGACCACTTCCCGGGTGAACGATCTGCAGCCTGGTCTTCTCTCAGACCTCAGTTTATTGTTTTATGTTTTTATACTTTTATTACAGTTTATTATGGTGCTATTACAGGTTTCCTACATGTTTTTAAATATTCAGGGAAAACTAGAATAATTAATGTTTATGAATGAACAGATGATGATTTCTGTTGTTGTCATTTCAGTTTCTAATAAATGAATTTCTAATAAATTGTTGTGATTTGTTTATTTGTGTTCAGGCTGCCTGTTTGGTCTCACCTGTCTGAAATCTCTTTTTAATCTATTAGATTACTTAAATACATACATATATCCACAAAGGCAAGTCCATTCATTCCTGTGGGAATCTCTGGGATATCCAATGTGCCAACTCATCCCCTCCATCAGATTTCGGTCCTGAATGTGCCTCAATATTGTGAAACTACCGATTTCGGAAATACCATACTGCAGTGTGCTAATTCACCTAAAAAAGCTGCTAACTAACAAACAGACTTTTTCTATCGATTCAGTTTGCGATGTTGATTGTTAGGCAGGTTTGTTTGATTAAAAATAACTTAGTCATCCTCTTTATCATTGGACAAAATCAGCCCCTGCCCCGTGGCTTCAAGTGGCTTCTATCAGGTTTCTCTAATCCATAGAGACATGCGCTTACTTGCATTGGACACTAGGAGGCATCATCCGTATATTTACAGAGCTACGAACACCAGTCACATATGTAAGTGGAAACGACAGTACCACAAATATTGACATTGTACCAATAAGTCAGTATTAACTTTTGTTGTTGTTGTTGTTGTCAAATGACCCCAACAAATCAGATGATCTGACAACCGTCAAACCAAATTCAGCCACAAAAGACAAAAACAGACTAAAACAAAGATAAACAAAACAAATACAAAAACAGACCAGCCCACTGAGCGATTCGGTCCAGGTTTAAAATGTGCAGAAAAGAAACAAACAGCTTAATTAAGAGCTTAGACATTTACTTTGACAGGCATGTACAGGAAATAATCAAGGATGTTAAGGATAAATGCCAGAGATTAATTTTGAAATTACAGTAATGATTGAGTCAATATTTCTTATTTTGAAAGGTAGGCTACTGCAAGAAGGAGCTCTTAAACTTGCTGCTGATGATAAATTAGGGCTCTTATTTTGACATGAGTGTCAGGTATCAGAGATAAAAATAAATGCAGCTCAGAGCTAAACTTCAGACGGACATGTTTCTGTCTGTTATTATTTCTGCTTTGCTCTTTTGTTGTCTTGTTCAAGTCGTGATGTCCAAAAACAAACTGACCTCTGTGGATTTTGAGATTTTTGGGAAAGTGCAGGGTAAGTCATATAACACATACATCTCACACGTATGTGACTGTGGGAGTAACAGATCAGCACTGTGTGTTAACAGCTGTATGTCAGCAGCACTGTGTGTTAGCAGCTGTATGTCAGCAGCTGTGTGTCAGCAGCTGTGTGTCAGCAGCTGTATGTCAGCAGCTGTATGTCAGCAGCTGTGTGTCAGCAGCTGTATGTCAGCAGCTGTTTGTCAACAGCTGTGTGTGTCAGCAGCTATATGTCAGCAGCTATATGTCAGCAGCTGTTTGTCAGCAGCTATATGTCAGCAGCTGTATGTCAGCAGCTGTGTGTGTCAGCAGCTGTATGTCAGCAGCTATATGTGAGCAGCTATATGTCAGTAGCTGTGTGTCAGCAGCTATATGTCAGTAGCTGTGTGTGTCAGTAGCTGTGTGTCAGCAGCTGTGTGTGTCAGCAGCTGTATGTCAGCAGCTGTGTGTGTCAACAGCTATATTTCAGCAGCTGTGTGTGTCAGCAGCTATGTGTCAGCAGCTGTGTGTGTCAGCAGCTATATGTCAGCAGCTATATGTCAGCAGCTATATGTCAGTAGCTGTGTGTCAGCAGCTGTATGTCAGCAGCTGTGTGTGTCAGCAGCTATATGTCAGCAGCTGTGTGTGTCAGCAGCTATATGTCAGTAGCTGTGTGTCAGCAGCTATATGTCAGCAGCTGTGTGTGTCAGCAGCTATATGTCAGTAGCTATATGTCAGCAGCTGTGTGTGTCAGCAGCTATATGTCAGTAGCTGTGTGTGTCAGCAGCTATATGTCAGTAGCTGTGTGTGTCAGCAGCTATATGTCAGCAGCTATATGTCAGCAGCTGTGTGTGTCAGCAGCTATATGTCAGTAGCTGTGTGTGTCAGCAGCTATATGTCAGCAGCTATATGTCAGTAGCTGTGTGTCAGCAGCTATATGTCAGCAGCTGTTTATCAGCAGCTGTGTGTGTCAGCAGCTATATGTCAGCAGCTATATGTCAGCAGCTATATGTCAGTAGCTGTTTGTCAGCAGCTGTTTGTCAGCAGCTATATGTCAGCAGCTATATGTCAGCAGCTATGTGTCAGCAGCTGTGTGTCAGCAGCTATATGTCAGCAGCTATATGTCAGCAGCTATATGTCAGCAGCTGTTTGTCAGCAGCTGTTTGTCAGCAGCTATATGTCAGCAGCTATGTGTCAGCAGCTATGTGTCAGCAGCTGTGTGTCAGCAGCTATATGTCAGCAGCTGTATGTCAGCAGCTGTGTGTGTCAGCAGCTGTATGTCAGCAGCTGCGTGTGTCAGCAGCTATATGTCAGCAGCTGTGTGTGTCAGCAGCTATATGTCAGCAGCTATATATCAGCAGCTGTGTGTGTCAGCAGCTATATGTCAGCAGCTATATGTCAGCAGCTATATATCAGCAGCTGTGTGTGTCAGCAGCTATGTGTCAGCAGCTGTGTGTGTCATTAGCTATACGTCAGCAGCTGTGTGTGTCAGCAGCTATTTATCAGCAGCTGTGTGTGTCAGCAGCAATACATCAGCAGCTGTGTGTGTCAGCAGCTGTATGTCAGCAGCTATATGTCAGCAGCTGTGTGTGTCAACAGCTATATTTCAGCAGCTGTGTGTGTCAGCAGCTGTGTGTGTCAGCAACTGTGTGTGTCAGCAGCTATATGTCAGCAGCTATATGTCAGCAGCTGTTTGTCAGCAGCTGTGTGTGTCAGCAGCTATATTTCAGCAGCTGTGTGTGTCAGCAACTGTGTGTGTCAGCAGCTGTATGTCAGCAGCTATATGTCTGCAGCTATATGTCAGCAGCTGTTTGTCAGCAGCTGTGTGTGTCAGCAGCTGTATGTCAGCAGCTATATGTCAGCAGCTGTGTGTGTCAGCAACTGTGTGTGTCAGCAGCTGTATGTCAGCAGCTATATGTCAGCAGCTATATGTCAGCAGCTGTTTGTCAGCAGCTGTGTGTGTCAGCAGCTGTATGTCAGCAGCTATATGTCAGCAGCTGTGTGTGTCAGTAGCTGTGTATGTCAGCAGCTGTATGTCAGTAGCTGTGTATGTCAGCAGCTGTATGTCAGCAGCTATATGTCAGCAGCTGTGTGTGTCAGCAGCTGTATGTCAGCAGCTATATGTCAGCAGCTGTGTATGTCAGTAGCTGTGTATGTCAGCAGCTGTATGTCAGTAGCTGTGTATGTCAGCAGCTGTATGTCAGCAGCTATATGTCAGTAGCTGTGTATGTCAGTAGCTGTGTATGTCAGCAGCTGTGTATGTCAGCAGCTGTATGTCAGTAGCTGTGTATGTCAGCAGCTGTATGTCAGCAGCTATATGTCAGTAGCTGTGTATGTCAGTAGCTGTGTATGTCAGCAGCTGTGTATGTCAGCAGCTGTATGTCAGTAGCTGTGTATGTCAGCAGCTGTATGTCAGCAGCTATATGTCAGTAGCTGTGTATGTCAGTAGCTGTGTATGTCAGCAGCTGTGTATGTCAGCAGCTGTATGTCAGCAGCTATATGTCAGCAGCTGTGTATGTCAGTAGCTGTGTATGTCAGCAGCTGTGTATGTCAGCAGCTGTATGTCAGCAGCTATATGTCAGCAGCTGTTTGTCAGCAGCTGTGTGTGTCAGCAGCTATATGTCAGCAGCTGTGTGTGTCAGCAGCTATATGTCAGCAGCTGTATGTCAGCAGCTGTGTGTGTCAGCAACTGTATGTCAGCAGCTGTGTGTGTCAGCAGCTGTATGTCAGCAGCTGTGTGTGTCAGCAGCTGTATGTCAGCAGCTCTGTGTGTTAGCAACTGTATGTCAGCAGCTGTGTGTCAGCAGCTATATGTCAGCAGCTGTGTATGTCAGTAGCTGTGTATGTCAGCAGCTGTGTATGTCAGCAGCTGTATGTCAGCAGCTGTGTGTCAGCAGCTATATGTCAGCAGCTATATGTCAGCAACTGTATGTCATCAGCTGTGTGTGTCAGCAGCTGTGTGTGTCAGCAGCTATATATCAGCAGCTATATGTCAGCAGCTGTGTGTGTCAGCAGCTGTGTGTGTCAGCAGCTATATATCAGCAGCTATATGTCAGCAGCTGTATGTCAGCAGCTGTGTGTGTCAGCAGCTGTGTGTGTCAGCAGCTATATGTCAGCAGCTATATGTCAGCAGCTATATGTCAGCAGCTATATGTCAGCAGCTGTATGTCAGCAGCTGTATGTCAGCAGCTGTATGTCAGCAGCTATATGTCAGCAGCTATATGTCAGCAGCTATATGTCAGCAGCTGTATATCAGCAGCTGTATATCAGCAGCTGTATGTCAGCAGCTGTATGTGTCAGCAGCTATATGTCAGCAGCTATGTCAGCAGCTATATGTCAGCAGCTATATGTCAGCAGCTGTATGTGTCAGCAGCTATATGTCAGCAGCTATATGTCAGCAGCTGTGTGTGTCAGCAGCTGTATGTCAGCAGCTGTGTGTGTCAGCAGCTGTATGTCAGCAGCTCTGTGTGTTAGCAACTGTATGTCAGCAGCTGTGTGTCAGCAGCTATATGTCAGCAGCTGTGTGTCAGCAGCTATATGTCAGCAGCTGTATGTCAGCAGCTGTGTGTGTCAGCAGCTGTATATCAGCAGCTATATGTCAGCAGCTGTATGTCAGCAGCTGTGTGTCAGCAGCTATATGTCAGCAGCTGTATGTCAGCAGCTGTGTGTGTCAGCAGCTGTATATCAGCAGCTATATGTCAGCAGCTGTATGTCAGCAGCTGTGTGTGTCAGCAGCTATATGTCAGCAGCTGTGTGTCAGCAGCTGTGTGTCAGCAGCTATATGTCAGCAACTGTATGTCATCAGCTGTGTGTCAGCAGCTGTGTGTGTCAGCAGCTATATGTCAGCAGCTATATGTCAGCAGCTATGTATCAGCAGCTATATGTCAGCAGCTGTGTGTGTCAGCAGCTGTGTGTGTCAGCAGCTATATATCAGCAGCTGTATGTCAGCAGCTGTGTGTGTCAGCAGCTATATGTCAGCAGCTGTATGTCAGCAGCTATATGTCAGCAGCTATATGTCAGCAGCTGTATGTCAGCAGCTGTATGTCAGCAGCTGTATGTCAGCAGCTATATGTCAGCAGCTATATGTCAGCAGCTATATATCAGCAGCTGTATGTCAGCAGCTGTATGTCAGCAGCTATATGTCAGCAGCTGTTTGTCAGCAGCTGTGTGTGTCAGCAGCTATATGTCAGCAGCTGTGTGTGTCAGCAGCTATATGTCAGCAGCTGTATGTCAGCAGCTGTGTGTGTCAGCAGCTGTATGTCAGCAGCTGTGTGTGTCAGCAGCTGTGTGTGTCAGCAGCTGTATGTCAGCAGCTCTGTGTGTTAGCAACTGTATGTCAGCAGCTGTGTGTCAGCAGCTATATGTCAGCAGCTGTATGTCAGCAGCTGTGTGTGTCAGTAGCTGTGTATGTCAGCAGCTGTATGTCAGTAGCTGTGTATGTCAGTAGCTGTGTGTGTCAGCAGCTGTATATCAGCAGCTATATGTCAGCAGCTGTATGTGTCAGTAGCTGTGTATGTCAGTAGCTGTGTATGTCAGTAGCTGTGTGTGTCAGCAGCTGTATATCAGCAGCTATATGTCAGCAGCTGTATGTGTCAGTAGCTGTGTATGTCAGTAGCTGTGTGTGTCAGCAGCTGTATATCAGCAGCTATATGTCAGCAGCTGTGTATGTCAGTAGCTGTGTGTGTCAGCAGCTATATGTCAGCAGCTGTGTATGTCAGTAGCTGTGTATGTCAGCAGCTGTATGTCAGTAGCTGTGTATGTCAGTAGCTATATGTGCAGCTGTGTATGTCAGTAGCTGTGTATGTCAGCAGCTGTATGTCAGTAGCCGTGTATGTCAGTAGCTGTGTATGTCAGCAGCTGTGTGTGTCAGCAGCTATATGTCAGCAGCTGTGTATGTCAGTAGCTGTGTATGTCAGCAGCTGTATGTCAGCAGCTGTGTATGTCAGCAGCTGTATGTCAGCAGCTATATGTCAGTAGCTGTGTATGTCAGTAGCTGTGTATGTCAGCAGCTGTGTA